TTTTTTTTTTTTTTTAATTTTTATACAATTTGTTAGTTTTTGTGTGATTTCTCTTTTAATACTCTTTAGCTAAAGAATTTTGTTGGCTTTTGGCAATATTTATGTCCCTGTTCTGGCTTTGAAAATTTCACTTTAAATATGAATCTTATACAAACATTGTTTTATTTATTTCTTTTTGTACTCTCTATAGCTTGTGCTTTTTTTTAGTAAAACTTAGTTTAGTTCAAAGATAGACCCCAATCGTTGGTTCTTGTTGGCATTGACTTGACTTATATTTTAGACACTTTTTGTGTGTTTTTACACTTTTTTTAGTTTGACAAAGGTTTGTGAAATCTTTTTTTTATATTTTTTATTTGACTTGTATTTCTATGATTTTCTTTTTCTATTTGTCGCACACAGCTACACACCGGATTTTTTTTTACAAACAATTTCCTGCATACATGAATACATTCTTGATTTATTTATTATTATGTATTTGTGTTTTAGAATCTATGTGTGTGAGTTTGATTTTTTATAAATGATTTTCCCTTTTAACATAAATACATACCAATACACATTTGGTTTTACTATCTATTGCCAGTACTTCTGGTATTTCATAGAGGAACAGTGGGTTATAGTGCAGCATTTTAATCTGTAATTTAATTTATAATCTATTCCATAGTCTAGTCTAGTCTAGTCTATAGTCTAGTCCAGTCTATAGTCTAGTCTATAGTCCAGTCTATAGTCTAGTCTAGTCTATAGTCTAGTCTAGTCTAGTCTAGTCTATATTCTAGTCTAGTCTATAGTCTAGTCTAGTCTAGTCTAGTCAGTCTAGTCTATAGTCTAGTCTATAGTCTTAGTCTAGTCTATAGTCTAGTCTATAGTCTAGTCTATAGTCTATAGTCTAGTCTATAGTCTAGTCTATAGTCTAGTCTATAGTCTAGTCTATAGTCTAGTCTATAGTCTAGTCTATAGTCTAGTCTATAGTCTAGTCTATAGTCTAGTCTATAGTCTAGTCTATAGTCTAGTCTATAGTCTAGTCTATAGTCTAGTCTATAGTCTAGTCTATAGTCTAGTCTATAGTCTAGTCTATAGTCTAGTCTATAGTCTAGTCTATAGTCTAGTCTATAGTCTAGTCTATAGTCTAGTCTATAGTCTAGTCTATAGTCTAGTCTATAGTCTAGTCTATAGTCTAGTCTATAGTCTAGTCTATAGTCTAGTCTATAGTCTAGTCTATAGTCTAGTCTATAGTCTAGTCTATAGTCTAGTCTATAGTCTAGTCTATAGTCTAGTCTATAGTCTAGTCTATAGTCTAGTCTATAGTCTAGTCTATAGTCTAGTCTATAGTCTAGTCTATAGTCTAGTCTATAGTCTAGTCTATAGTCTAGTCTATAGTCTAGTCTATAGTCTAGTCTATAGTCTAGTCTATAGTCTAGTCTAGTCTATAGTCTAGTCTAGTCTATAGTCTAGTCTATAGTCTAGTCTAGTCTATAGTCTAGTCTAGTCTATAGTCTAGTCTAGTCTATAGTCTAGTCTAGTCTATAGTCTAGTCTAGTCTATAGTCTATAGTCTAGTCTAGTCTATAGTCTAGTCTAGTCTAGTCTATAGTCTAGTCTAGTCTATAGTCTAGTCTATAGTCTAGTCTATAGTCTAGTCTATAGTCTAGTCCATAGTCTAGTCTATAGTCTAGTCTATAGTCTAGTCTATAGTCTAGTCTATAGTCTAGTCTATAGTCTAGTCTATAGTCTAGTCTATAGTCTAGTCTATAGTCTAGTCTATAGTCTAGTCTATAGTCTAGTCTATAGTCTAGTCTATAGTCTAGTCTATAGTCTAGTCTATAGTCTAGTCTATAGTGTAGTCTATAGTCTAGTCTATAGTCTAGTCTATAGTCTAGTCTATAGTCTAGTCTATAGTCTAGTCTATAGTCTAGTCTATAGTCTAGTCTATAGTCTAGTCTATAGTCTAGTCTATAGTCTAGTCTATAGTCTAGTCTATAGTCTAGTCTATAGTCTAGTCTATAGTCTAGTCTATAGTCTAGTCTATAGTCTAGTCTATAGTCTAGCCTATAGTCTAGTCTATAGTCTAGTCTATAGTCTAGTCTATAGTCTAGTCTACAATCTAGTCTATAAACTAGTCTATATATTTCTAGTCTGTTTTAATATTTCCAGTTTTGCACTAATTTTTTATCATATCTACCACTGTCCAAATTGAAATATTTTAGAGGTTTACCCATTCACACTTTGTCTAAGTGTGTAGGTATTTATATGTGGTTGTAAATGAGTATATATGTATTTAAATACACTCATACATATGTATGAATGAATGTCTGTATATATAAATATGTATGCTTACATACTTACATAAGTATTTCTTTGGTTTGTTTGAGAATGTACATACATATGTGTGTAAGAGTTTTATTTTTATTACTATGTATTAGTATGTGTTTGTTCAAGTGTGTCGGTGTATTGGTTTATTTTGTTTGAATGCGTTTTATTGGCAATATGTTGTGTTCTACACGTTAATGTTTGTGTTGCTGCCACTGCTACTACTGCTGTTATGGGTTTTATAGAAGAATCTCTTGGGGCACTTATAGATACTTTGACTTTGTTTTTTCTTAGTTTTCTTCCTTTTTTTTTTCATTAGATTTCTATTTTGTCTAGTATATATTGGCTGTAGTACTTCTGGTTAGCAGCAGAGAAGGGTAAATAGAAATAATGGAATTAGAAAGAAAGAAAGAAATTTCAACATTTTGACCCATATTCAATGTCTTATAAGACGGAAAAAATCTTTATATCCATTTCCTTTTATACGTTTGAATTCGTTCTTTTTTATTGTTTTGTATTTTATAACAACATAAATATTGGTTGGAGTGTGTGTGTGTGCGTTAGTATTTATTTGAAGTTATATATTGTTTATTTAAACCAATAAGAAGAAAAAAACATAAAGGAAAACATCTTCTAAGATTTGCCAAGAGTAAAAGTTGAAAATCATAAATCATAAATTGTAAAAAAGAGCTCATAGCAGTGATTAATGCTTAGACTCTTGCGAGTATTTGTTAACTCTCACACATACTCATGCCACTAACATGCCTCATTTTATTTTTTTACTGTTAAGAAAATTAATAGCAAAAGTAGAGTGAAAGCTTTTGATTTTATTCAATTCAAGTTGCTACTTTTTTCCACTTTATTTCAATGCTTTTGATGTATTATATTGACCTCGTTTTGCTGTGTGAAGAGATTTGTCTAATCAGTTTGGCCACCAACCACGAACCAACCTTTACAATTTATCATATTGACATTTAAAACTAGGTTAATGTTTGTTGGTAATTTGTGTTACAATATAGACTAATTGCTTTTAGTCTGCGAAAGTATTTCTTAAAGAATTTATGCAAGTTTGTTAAGGTCACCCATATATTAATTTATGTTTATGAAATAACCTAGATAATTTCCTTTTCTATTATAACTTGAAAACTGCTAAATTATAATGAATTCAATAGTCTATAGTCTAGTCTATAGTTTAGTCTAGTCTATAGTCTAGTCTATAGTCTAGTCTATAGTTTAGTCTAGTCTATAGTCTAGTCTAGTTAGTCTAGTCTATAGTCTAGTCTATAGTCTAGTCTATAGTCTAGTCTATAGTCTAGTCTATAGTCTAGTCTATAGTCTAGTCTATAGTCTAGTCTATAGTCTAGTCTATAGTCTAGTCTATAGTCTAGTCTATAGTCTAGTCTATAGTCTAGTCTATAGTCTAGTCTATAGTCTAGTCTAGTCTAGTCTAGTCTAGTCTATAGTCTAGTCTATAGTCTAGTCTATAGTCTAGTCTATAGTCTAGTCTATAGTCTAGTCTATAGTCTAGTCTATAGTCTAGTCTATAGTCTAGTCTATAGTCTAGTCTATAGTCTAGTCTATAGTCTAGTATAAAGTCTATTCTCTAGTCTAGTCTATAGTCTAGTCTATAGTCTATTCTCTAGTCTAGTCTATAGTCTAGTCTATAGTCTAGTCTAGTCTATGGTCTAGTCTAGTCTATAGTCTAGTCTAGTCTATAGTCTAGTCTAGTCTATAGTCTAGTCTATCGTCTAGTCTATCGTCGAGTCTATAGTCTAGTTTATAGTCTATTCTATTCTCTAGTCTATAGTCTAGTATATAGCCTAGTCTATAGTCTAGTCTATAGTCTAGTCTATAGTCTAGTTTATAGTCTAGTCTATAGTCTAGTCTAAAGTCTAGTCTATAGTCTAGTCTATAGTCTAGTCTATAGTCTAGTCTATAGTCTATTCTATAGTCTAGTTCTACTCAAGATTTTCTTTAATGTTTAATAAAACTTGTAACAGCAACCCATTTAAAAACGATAAATATTTATTTTTAATAAAAAATCCTATAAATTGCCTTAAAATACGACAAAGCCCATAAAATTATCACCAGAAAAATGACAATAAATATTTACATTCACACTCGTAAAAATATGGTGCGTATAAGTAATATGTAATTTTCTCTACTAAATGTATCAACACTTATACGACACCATGCCAATGTAATTTCTCCCGCTCTATCTCTTTTTAAAAGCTAATAATTCCATTCTTTCTGGTAGAAACAGGGTGCGTATGAATGATAAATAATTTTACCAACACTTATACGTCGGCATGCATATGTGATTTCTTTTCTTCTTTCTCTCATTTTATTTTATTTTTAAAAGCTAATAAAAAATAATCATACGTTAAGGTGTCCCCATAATAAAAACAAGAAAAAAGTCAAGAAATGCATAAAACATTTTTACAGCATCTATTTTATGTTTATTTGTAAAACATGTCTATTTTTATGGAGGAAATATATTTATTTATAACATTTTGTTTTGCTTGTTAGAAAAATTATTGTAGGTTTTTTTAGGGTTTTGGAAAGTTTAAATCAAAAAGGATTTAATTAAGATTATAGGTTTAAGGAAATAACCTTTAAATTTTTATATTTTATATTTAAAATTATTGATTTGTTGTTTTTTAACAATATCTTTATTTTTGTTTTCTATTTTTTCAGAAACGAAAAATTTTATACCTGCTGCGATGAACCCTATTTGGATATAACATTTAATATAACAATGCGCCGCAAAACCCTTTTCTATACGGTTAATCTTATTATACCCTGTATGGGCATTAGTTTTTTAACAATTTTGGTATTTTATTTACCATCTGATAGTGGTGAAAAAGTAAGTATTTTATTTATTGTTTAAAAAACTTAATTTTTTTTTTTAATTTTCAAAAAATGTAGTTTTTAGGGGGACATGGCAAAAGTTTTGGAACTAATTTGTACTTTAAGAACAATTTGTACTCACACTACATGTCTTTTCAAATTAAATGTGACCAAATTAGTGAAAAATTAATGCAATTTGATTTTAAATGCAGTAGAGATCTTTAAAATATTTTTTAAATTAAGTTTGATAAATTCTCAAAATCGATTATAAAAATTCCCACTTTGGGATTTTTTAAAAATTTCGTGGGAATTTAAAAATGTTAAGGAATTTTGTCTTAAAAACCATTTTAATGAATTGTAAGTGTTTTTTAATGAATTTTGACAAATTCCTAAAAACCATAATAAAAATTCCCACTTTTGGATTTTTCAAAACCAAAATAGGAATTTGCGGGATTTTAAAGGAATGTGAATATTGTATTAAATATCGACATATTTATTTGTATTCAATAAACAAGCTATTATGGAATACTAGTGCGTATGATAAATATTTATTTAATTTAAAATAAATATCAATCATACGTCCCCTTGCTAAATGTTTATATAAATTAATTTGCCATATAACTAAAATTTCCCCCATGTATAAGAAATTAAATTCCCTAACAGTTTATAATCGAAATATTTGCACATATTTATGTGCAAAGTTAAAAACATAAACTATTAACCCTACAAAATAAAAAACAGAAATACAAACATGTTGCACAATTATTTGCATTTTAAAACGGTGCCACAACAAAATAAACTTTGATGAACTATAAATTTATCGTGCTATTACTTACTTGTTGTTAGTTGTATGTGCAACATGTTTTGTTTTTGTTTATTCAAGTGATTTATTTATTGTTTATGATGTTGTTGTTGTATCTGTTTCTAGGTCTCATTAAGCATATCCATTTTACTGTCGTTGACTGTGTTCTTCTTGCTGCTTGCGGAAATTATTCCGCCAACATCGTTAGTTGTGCCGCTTTTAGGGAAATTTGTACTTTTTACAATGATACTCGATACATTCAGGTAAGTTTTATATTTCCCCCCACCCTTTACTACTAAATACTTTATCCAGACGTTATAAATTTGAAATGTAAATATTCGGCGGGTATTGGAAAAAACCTGAATTATAAACTTTTTTGTCTTTTTTATATGTATGTATATGTGAGAATATACATATTTAAGTTTATGTTTGTATGCTGATCTATTTTAAATATTTATTGTGTTTTTATGTATATGTATATTTTTTCGAGGCATCATAAATTATTGATTTATTGTCTCTATGTCTGTGTGGTGATGTTTGGCTGCATTGCATTGCTGTATAAACAAAATATGACTGTGATGTATATAGCAATATTTTTAGGTTAAATAAACTAAAATCAAAAAGGGGATTTAATAGGAAGTGTTAAATATATTGCAAGGGAATACATTTTGAAACATTTTGTTTTTATTTTTTGTCATAATTCCCTAATTTTAATCCAAATTTGGCTAAAAATAGAAAAAATTTGTAAAACACAAAAAATTTAATAAAAAATCTCATTACAATTTGGCAATTCACTTAAAAATTAACAAATCCTTTTTAAATATTTTAAACAATTTAAAACTTATTTAAATAAAACACTCCCACTTTAAAAACCTCCCCTTATCCCCTGAAAACATACATAAATTTAAAACAATTTCAAATATTTATGCTAAATAAACAAAAGCAAATTCATCATTACTGGTTAAAAACAAATACAATCTATTTAAATATTATTATGTTGACTGACTAATCAAAACAGCAGCCATAAACAAAATTGATTATTTATTTTTTAAGCCTGTTAGAGCAAGCAAATTCACCATCTGTCTGTCTGTATGCTAAGCAATTGTTTATTTGTCATACAATTATAAATTTCTATGTGTGTGTTATTGGTTGCATCCGTCCCACTGCTGGTCTCATGACCAACCGTCATAATAATGTCATTAAACACTCTGCCACCCGTATTTTGAATTGTTTAAACAATGACAGCTTAATCACGTTAGAATTTCGTGGTTTAGCGTAATTGTTTGATACATGCACAGACCATTAAACTAATGTTTGAAATATCTTTACGGTATAAACACACAGACGGACACATACATACACACACATACAAGGAATTTTGTTTTTTTACTTTTAAAGGGACTTCGATTACATACCGACTCAGACGTACAATGAGTTGTGGACAGACGTAGTTAGGCGCAGAGCAAATTTTGGTTTTTAGCAAAATTGCACTATGGCTTTAAATACATATATTTTTTGAAGAAAATTACTAGACCAGACATTTTACATTGCAACTTTTCCATTTGCTCTTCAGTAGAACTTACTTTCTATAGAATATTTGATCTAAAGTCGAGACTATAGGCCGATCTAGAGTCTAGACTATTGGCTGATCTATAGTTTAGACTATAATCTGGTCTATCGTCTAGACTATAATCTGATCTATAGTTTAGACTATGATCTGGTCTTTAGTCTAGACTATAGTTTAGTCTATAGTCTAGACTATAGTCTGATCTGCAGTTAAGGTCTATCGTCTAGACTATAGTTTGATCTATAGCTTAGACTATGATCTGGTATATCCTCTAGGCTATAGTTTAGTCTATAGTATAGACTATAGTTTAGTCTATAGTGTAGACTATAGCTTAGTCTATAGTCTAGACTACAGTCTTGTCTATAGTCTAGACTATAGAGCTTATTTTAAATAAGGAATTATCACTTATATAGAGTTTATTCTCTATAGAAAATTTGCTCTTCAATAGAGCTTTTTCTCTATAGAAAATTTTGTCTTAAATAGATCGTCTTTTCTATAGAAAATTTGCTCTTAAATTTAATATATTTCCATAGATATTTTGCTCTTAAGTTGACCATCTTTTCTTAAGAAATTTGCTATCATCATTGCTATAGAAGTTTGAAGTCTAGACTATATTTTAGTCTATAGTCTAGACTATAGTCTGGTCTATAGTCTACACTACAGTCTGGTCTATAGTCTGGTCTATAATCTAGACTACAGTCTGGTCTATAGTCTAGACTATAGTCTAGTCTATAGTCTAGTCTATAGTCTAGACTATAGTCTGGTCTATTTGCTCTTAAATATAATATACATACTTCTCTTGCTCTTACGTTAAGCACAGCTAAACAAGATGGTTAAAGAAATGTAATTTCAAATTCACAATTTTCTCTCTTATATAAGCCCATAGTGTTTTGTAAATCTTTACTTGTCACATGCCATAAACATTTATTTCTATATGTGCATATAAAAGTTTGCCTGAGAATATGTAGGTATGTCTGCGTAAAGTTAACATATGTATATTGAATAATACATACATACACCCAAAACAGACAGACTCATTACACCGTCATTTACCCGTGCATACCTATAAAACCATATTGTCCTCATTTCACCACATCCTCATCGCCCCATCTATACGTTATTTAGGCAAACGTTTAATGGCCATTTAAGCTGCATGGGTTAATGAAGATGTGCATATTTAATCATGCAACTATTTTTCATTAAATCTGTTAAATCTGCTGCTCTTCTTCTACGTTTTAATGTCTGTATTTTAAACTAACGCCAGTTTTTTGTAAGGAAAACCATAATTGTTCCCAGTTTTTAGTGAATAATTTATATCATTTAAATATATAAATGATTCTCATCTTTTTTTATAGTTAAATCAATTAAAACCTTTTGCAAAATATTGTTATTTGCTCAACTATTTAGTTGACATTTTAATTAATTGTTTATTAGACTAATTAAACATACATTTATTTAGTTGCCAGAGTAGTAATACAACAACAAAATAAAAATTTCAAATAAATACTTAAATGCAACATAATTAATGCATTTTTTTTTTTGTTGCAATGTAGTACATGCTTATGCATGATAAATTTTTATTCAACTTTAATTAAAGAAATTTAATTATTTATAAATTTAAAATGTATTGGTTTTATACATTAAAATTGTTAGGTTTGTAAACTTTTAAGTAATTAGAAAATAATATTAGAGAATTTGTAAATTAATAATTAGATATTTTTTTAATATAAAATGATAAAATTCTCTCAGACTGAAAGCTTTATTTCTACAGAAAATTTTCTATACAAAATTTTCTGTTGGAAAAGCTTATTTTCTTTGGAAACTTTTCTCCTTGTAAAAGCTTATTTTCTATTCAAAATTTGCTCTTCGAAAGAACGTAATTTCTGTAGAAACTTTTCTCTTTGTAAAAGTATATTTTCTATACAAAATTTGCTCTTCGAAAGAACTTAATTTCTGTAGAAACTTTTCTCCTTGTAAAAGCTTGATTTCTGTACAAAAGTTGCTCTTCGAAAGAACTTGTTTTCTATAGAAAATTCACTCCTTTAAAGATCTTATTTTGCTCTTTGAGAGAGCTTATTTTCTATGTAAAATTTGCTCTTTGAAAGAACTTATTTTCTAAAGACAATTTGCTCTTTGAAAGAACTTATTTTCTATACAAAATTTGCTCTTCGAAAGAGCTTATTTTCTGTAGAAACTTTTCTCCTTGTAAAAGCTTATTTTCTATACAAAATTTGCTCTTCAAAAGAACTTATTTTCTGAAGAAACTTTTCTCTTTGTAAAGCTTATTTTTTAAGCTCTTTGAAAGAGCTTATTTTCTATAGAAATGTACTTATTTTTAAAGAGCTTATTTTCTGTAGAAATTTTGCACCTTGAAAGAGCTTATTTTCTACCAAAAATGTTCTCCCTTATTTTCTATGGAGAACCTATTTTTTAAAAAAAATATATCGGTTTGAGAGCCTAATAAGAATTCATTTTCTATAGAAAATTTGTTTCTAATAAAAGCTTATTTAGTCTTAGTAAAAGCCTAAAGAAACTAATTTTTATATTTTTTACCACTTACTAAGTATAAGATATAAAAAGTGAGTTTTTTACTTTCCGACTTTCTGTTTTATTTTTTTTTTTTTTTTTTTTCTTAAATAAAATTTACATGAGTTACTTTATTGTTAATATTTACTGCAGATTGTAATTCAAATTGATTTAAGTACAAATAATTTAATTGTTAGAGTCAAACAAACACATACTCATACTGGCAGTTTTGGGTAGCAATACCCAATGTGTGATATTTTCTAACATTTGAGACTAACACTGGTTATTACAGAATGCTACTTTCCATTACAAATGTAAAACTGACTCTATAATACATTACTACTGGTGTATTAAGTAATCACTTTATAATGTGCACTAGAAAATCAAAGGTGTAGGAATAAGCAAAAGAGAGATGCATCTCCTCCTGGGTTAGGGAAATATATATTTTGAGAAAATAATGTCTAAAAAGCTTTCATTGACTCACTTTTAAACTGCTGGGCAAATAAAAATATACTTTTCCATATACACATTTAAATGTGTAAACGTACTTATTTATTTATGCATGAAAATATGAATTTTTTACAATAAAACAACACTTGCAATGCAATGAAAAAGTGAAGGAGAGAGAGAGTAGCAGAAGGAGAGCATTCCCTACGGGTTATATTTAAACGATATATAAGAGTATGAGTAAATATATATGACTACAGTACGTGGTCACATATGTCACCTATGTATATACGTACATACATACATCTATAAACTCACACGTAGACATGTTTATGCATGCACAATAACTGTGCAAGCATACAAATTTAACACAAATGCATAAGAGCAATTACAAACTATGTAAAATGTATGTTTTATATGCTCATATTCAAATATGTACAAGTACTAAAAGTCAAATGGAAAAAAAAAAACTGAATAACTGAAATCCTGGGAGTAAGGGATTGAGGGCATAAGAGTGTTACAAAGTTGTGTTGCAGTTACATATGTATGTACTTTTTTCACATTGTTATAAGTTTATATAGGATTTCATGCATGCTTGTTAAGCAAACTTTTGAACAAAAAATCGACAACAACAAAAAATTCTCACCATTTCAACTGTGCAACCTGAGTGCTGTGAAGAAAGCAAAAACTACGTAAATCATTTTATTTTTAATCGTTTTTCGTTTTTTATCCCCAGTTTCATTTTAATGAATTTGTTTCTTGTTTTGTTTTTTCTCTCTTTTTACATGTTTCTTCAACTTTGCCATCCACGCTACCTGGGGCCGTGATGAAAATCCTCTTTATAAATCCTTTTTCCTGTGCGAATTTCAAATATTTGCTGTGTGTGTGTGTGTTCATTGCTTGGTGTAATTGTTATTGTGTCTGCCTCAACTTATCCTTGAAAATTACAAAACTGGACATGGTTTGTGTCCATCTATCTATCGTTCTATATCTGACAGTATATGTGTTACGGTGGTAGTACTTAATATACACTTTCGTTCGCCGCAAACTCACACTATGGCACCTTGGGTGCGTACAGTGTTTATCAATCAACTGCCACGGTTTCTGGTAATGCGACGACCGCTTTATCCCATTGGTGAAATGATGTAAGTAGTAACAGCAAATATAAAAACAAATCTATATAGTTGCAACGTAATAACATTTATGTTTCCACATGTGTAATCCCATAATTTTTTATTTATTAATTATTTTTAATTAAGAAATTGTAATATTATTGTCATACATTTGAGTGATTATTTTTGCTAAAGTTTCAAATACGAGGGTGTTGTGTTAAGTTTCCCAAAAAAAAATCCTAAACAAAATCAGTTTTAACTCAACCTTCTCAAACTCAACATCACTATTTCAAAACCAAACAAAATTTTTCCATTTTCTTTTCTTAAACCACTTGCAGTAAAACATCTCGACAACTTATGTTACGAACCTGTAATGGACTTGAACTTAGGGATCAAATACCACCGCTGCCACCACCCGTAGCCTTATCACGGTAAGTTAATATCCCCCTTCTAAACAAAACAACTTTCCCTTTTTAATAAAATATATACATTTCACTAATTGCTCCAAGTATTCGTAGACTACACCACAGTCCACACAAAACTTCACGCAGCACCTCGCCACACCTACAACATCGCGTACAGAGTCTCAATATGCTGGACGAGGTTAGTGGGGCGTACGGCGGTAGTTGTGTCGTTGGTGGTGCGTCCACAATAACGGGTAACTGTTCGATTATGTACCCCTCAACTATGAATCAAGAGACTTCAACAACCAGTTCACTGGTCGACACTTTACATCACAGTCAATACCAGCAAACGGGTGGCTCTTTACTAGATCATCCTTTAACGCCAACGAAATTTCGTCAGAAAGCCTCAACTGCAGTGCAAACGAATGGCATTGGTATGGAATCCTCTACTTCACAATACAGTGGCTATGGTACGATACATCATCAACATCACCAAGTGCCATTGCATCAGCAACAGTCGCAGCAATCACAACAACATATACATCATATGAGTCATGGGGCAAACGCTGCCAAATCATCTTCCACCACCACGCTACATCAACAGCACTCGCACCCCTATCATTTGTATCGCCAACAATCCACATGTTCGGCGAATTTTTCGCCTGTGCCTGCACCTCTGCATCCGCATCAACAGCATCAGTCGACCACGACTTGTGACCTAATAGGCAATACCAATTCGAATGTGATAAAATCAACTACCACCGTTAACTCGGTGGCCACTGCCTCTACACTGGCGGGGTCCTGCTGCAGTGTAAACGGTGCAGTACAGATCCATCAGGGTTTGGGTGCTGGAGCGGCTTGTGATTCGGCCGCCAATCGTACTCAGCAGACAGGTGTGCAAACTACTAATACAACAACTTCAACTGCCAGAAGTGTGGGTGTTGGTGGCGGCGAAGTTTTACCCGAGTGTCAGCGTGAAGGTGGCCCTCACTGTTGTTCGTCAAGTAAAAATCGAGTGAGACATCGTTGGCACAAGTGTCCCGAGCTGCATAAGGCCATGGATGGTGTGACCTATATAGCGGATCAGACGCGCAAGGAAGAGGAGAGTACTAAGTGAGTAAACCGAGAAAACAGATAAAAATTAGGCGGCTTTTTTATCTAAATTTCTGGTCGTTCTAGTTCAGGTTCTAGTTCAGTTCTAGTTCAGTTCTAGTTCATTTCTAGTTCAGTTCTAGTTCAGTTCTAGTTCAGTTCTAGTTCAGTTCTAGTTCAGTTCTAGTTCAGTTCTAGTTCAGTTCTAGTTCAGTTCTAGTTCAGTTCTAGTTCAGTTCTAGTTCAGTTCTAGTTCAGTTCTAGTTCAGTTCTAGTTCAGTTCTAGTTCAGTCTAGTTCAGTTCTAGTTCAGTTCAGTTCAGTTCTAGTTCAGTTCTAGTTCAGTTCTAGTTCAGTTCTAGTTCAGTTCTAGTTCAGTTCTAGTTCAGTTCTAGTTCAGTTCTAGTTCAGTTCTAGTTCAGTTCTAGTTCAGTTCTAGTTCAGTTCTAGTTCAGTTCTAGTTCAGTTCTAGTTCAGTTCTAGTTCAGTTCTAGTTCAGTTCTAGTTCAGTTCTAGTTCAGTTCTAGTTCAGTTCTAGTTCAGTTCTAGTTCAGTTCTAGTTCAGTTCTAGTTCAGTTCTAGTTCAGTTCTAGTTCAGTTCAGTTCTAGTTCAGTTTACATCTCTCATCTATGGATATTTAATCTAAATAATTAATCCGATTTTGCACCATTTTCAATTCTGTTTTCAACTTATTTATTGAAGTGTTATTTACATAATTGCACGTTTGCTCTTAATTCTAATCTCTATTAAATAATGCCATGGTTTTGCCTTTTTACCTTTTGGGAATATTTGAACTAATGTGTAGTATGATTCTGGCAATTTTATTTCGTTATTAAGTGGTTTTTATTTCACCCCCTCTTATATCATTTGTTTGGCATATTTAAACATGTGTAATAAGGTAAATGAACAGTAGTGCACGAAACAAATTAAAAGTTTCAAAATTTCAACTTTTTCGAAGCAGTTTTGTGTAGGAAACTACTTTAGTGACAGGTCCTTCGTTATCGTTTTAGTAATAACAGAGCAATAAATTACAAAGTTTACAAATCATTCGACTTTTTTCAATTCTTACTGTTTGTTCACTTAAACATATGAACATGTGTGTATAAATTTTCGTCTGCATTGTATAATTTCTGAAAAAAAGGTGACAGAAATCGTCAACATCATTATCATCATCGTCAACTATCGTAATGATAACAACAACATCATCACTGCAAAAAAATATAATAATAATTTTATACTCTCTTTCACATGCTCTTCAAAAGCAAACAAAATCCCTTATGTTAAATGTCAGTTACGACAAGTTGATAATGCCGTGTTATAGATTTTCAATTGTTGTTGTGGTTCTATTCTTTCGTACACACATAAATGTGTAGTTGGTCGACAGTTTTTGAAGGAGACAATATTGTTTAAAAATACATTACTATTTAATTGACAGGAAATAAAGTACTTTTTGTAATGCAGAAAGGAAGTTAGGCATCACTTAAATGTTGGGAAGGTGATATCTAAATAAAATCCTTTGTTCCTGACAACCACCACCAACTGCAGGGTTTTGTTGCAGCTATTATTTTTGGCGATTGGGATTATTGTGGTGATGTTGGTGGCAGTTTTGTTGGCAATTTAATAAAAATGTTCATACTGGTGTTGGTGGCGTTAGTGTTGTTGCTGTTTTTACGATTTCATATCGCTTATTTACTACAAGACTGGCATAATCCAAAATTCAGGATTTTTGAACTGAGAACTAGAAATTATGCGTCAAATTAGAGTCTTTCATATAGTTATATATAGGCCTTATTTTTCAAATCCGCTGATCTGTTTGAAAGTTATTTCAAAAATAAAAAATGTCATAAAACATTCAATGCTCTTTTACACAAAAATAAGTTCTTGATTTATGCCGATCTTGTAGTAAACGAGCGATATGTTTAGAATTAGTAAAAAGTAACTTAAAAATAAATTGACATGTATACAATTTGGGTGCTCTTAGGCACCCTCTAACTAACCAGCAACCAACCAAACAACCAAAAACTATTCCAAATAGAAAACCTTCCAAAAATTACACGTAAATATTTAAATTATTTGTATGATACTCGTCGCCGTTCTCGTACTTGAATACATAACGAAGTGCAAGGGTATGTTGAGTAGTATCTATATCTACATATCCATATCTGTTTTATGATGAGATGGTGTGGTTGCTGCTGTTGTTGTTTGGGTATCAATTGAGTGGGTTGTTGCCACATTTTTGGAAATTTTAAAATTCTCTGTGTTTGTGATGTTGTTTCCTTTCGTGCGGTTAAACCGAATTTTATTTATACTTTCATAAACACACTTTACAGTGCAAACAAAATTCAGTGGTTGAAATTTATTTACTGCAAATGATGTTTTTTTCTTTTTCAATATGCCACCAACAGCCAGCATCCGTTCTATCAGGGAATACCGCGAATGTGTGGATACTGAGGAAACTAAATACAATAAGTAGATTGATTCAAATAAACACATTTAAACTTGACATTTGTTGAAAAGTGTTGCTATTAGATATCAAATTTACTAGTTACTTAATGTATGACTTAGATCAAGAAGAATTAATTAAATGTGATTGATTGATTTCATCGCACTTCTGTAAATATTTTTTTTTTGTTGACATGAATCTCAACAAAATTAATTGCGCGTCCTTAGATCTTGGAATATCTTTCCTATTTTTGTTCTAGTTCTGCTCTAGTTCTGTTCTAGTTCTGTTCTAGTTCTAGTTCTGTTCTAGTTCTGTTCTAGTTCTGTTCTAGTTCTGTTCTAGTTCTGTTCTAGTTCTGTTCTAGTTCTGTTCTAGTTCTGTTCTAGTTCTGTTCTAGTTCTGTTCTAGTTCTGTTCTAGTTCTGTTCTAGTTCTGTTCTAGTTCTGTTCTAGTTCTGTTCTAGTTCTGTTCTAGTTCTGTTCTAGTTCTGTTCTAGTTCTGTTCTAGTTCTGTTCTAGTTCTGTTCTAGTTCTGTTCTAGTTCTGTTCTAGTTCTGTTCTAGTTCTGTTCTAGTTCTGTTCTAGTTCTAGTTCTGTTCTAGTTCTGTTCTAGTTCTGTTCTAGTTCTGTTCTAGTTCTGTTCTAGTTCTGTTCTAGTTCTGTTCTAGTTCTGTTCTAGTTCTGTTCTAGTTCTGTTCTAGTTCTGTTCTAGTTCTGTTCTAGTTCTGTTCTAGTTCTGTTCTAGTTCTGTTCTAGTTCTGTTCTAGTTCTGTTCTAGTTCTGTTCTAGTTCTGTTCTAGTTCTAGTTCTGTTCTAGTTCTGTTCTAGTTCTGTTCTAGTTCTGTTCTAGTTCTGTTCTAGTTCTGTTCTAGTTCTGTTCTAGTTCTGTTCTAGTTCTGTTCTAGTTCTGTTCTAGTTCTGTTCTAGTTCTGTTCTAGTTCTGTTCTAGTTCTGTTCTAGTTCTGTTCTAGTTCTGTTCTAGTTCTGTTCTAGGTTCTGTTCTAGTTCTGTTCTAGTTCTGTTCTAGTTCTAGTTCTGTTCTAGTTCTGTTCTAGTTCTGTTCTAGTTCTGTTCTAGTTCTGTTCTAGTCCTGTTCTAGTTCTGTTCTAGTTCTGTTCTAGTTCTGTTCTAGTTCTGTTCTAGTTCTGTTCTAGTTCTGTTCTAGTTCTGTTCTAGTTCTGTTCTAGTTCTGTTCTAGTTCTGTTCTAGTTCTGTTCTAGTTCTGTTCTAGTTCTGTTCTAGTTCTGTTCTAGTTCTGTTCTAGTTCTGTTCTAGTTCTGTTCTAGTTCTGTTCTAGTTCTGTTCTGGTTCTGTTCTAGTTCTGTTCTAGTTCTGTTCTATTCTGTTCTAGTTCTGTTCTAGTTCTGTTCTAGTTCTGTTCTAGTTCTGTTCTAGGTTCTGTTCTAGTTCTGTTCTAGTTCTGTTCTAGTTCTGTTCTAGTTCTGTTCTAGTTCTGTTCTAGTTCTGTTCTAGTTCTGTTCTAGTTCTGTTCTAGTTCTGTTCTAGTTCTGTTCTAGTTCTGTTCTAGTTCTGTTCTAGTTCTGTTCTAGTTCTGTTCTAGTTCTGTTCTAGTTCTGTTCTAGTTCTGTTCTGGTTCTGTTCTGGTTCTGTTCTAGTTCTGTTCTAGTTCTGTTCTAATTCTGTTCTAGTTCTGTTCTAGTTCTGTTCTAGTTCTGTTCTAGTTCTGTTCTGGTTCTGTTCTGGTTCTGTTCTAGTTCTGATCTAGTTCTGTTCTAATTCTGTTCTAGTTCTGTTCTAGTTCTGTTCTAGTTCTGTTCTAGTTCTGTTCTAGTTTTGTTCTAGTTCTGTTCTAGTTCTGTTCTAGTTCTGTTCTAGTTCTGTTCTAGTTCTGTTCTAGTTCTGTTCTAGTTTTGTTCTAGTTTTGTTCTAGTTCTGTTCTAGTTCTGTTCTAGTTCTGTTCTAGTTTCTAGTTCTGTTCGAGTTCTGTTCTAGTTCTGTTCTAGTTCTGTTCTAGTTCTGTTCTAGTTCTGTTCTAGTTCTGTTCTAGTTCAGTTCTAGTTCAGTTCTAGTACTGTACTAGTTTTGTTCTAATTCTGTTCTAGTTCTGTTCTAGTACTGTTCTAGTTCTGTTCTAGTTCTATTCTAGTTCTGTTCTAGTTCTAGTTATGTTCTAGTTCTGTTCTAGCTGTGTTCTAGTTCTATTCTATGTGATTTATTTCTAGATCAGTTCTAGTTCTGTTCTGCTCCTGCTCTTGATTTTTCTTCAATTCTATTGAGGTTCTAGTTTAGTGCTGGTGCTTTTATAATGTTGATTATTACCTTCTCTTAACTTTTAACCTTTGACCCTTATAATCATTGTGAATACATATCAATTTCATTGATCTTAAAATAATCCCAAATATAAATTACAATTTTTAAAACAAACAAAATTGCATGGCATTAATTTCAAGAGTTAAAATTTATTTTTAATTGAAAAAAAAGGAACACAAAAACAACACTACAATTTAATGCAATTGATAATTTAATAGAAAGAGCAACAACAACACACAATCATATATGAGTATAAAGTTTGAAAGGGAGTGTGAAAAAAGTAACAACAACAATATAAAAAAAGAATATGGCATCCATAGTAATGGTTCCAGTAAAATGTATTTTATCCTTTAACATGCATATAAAAAGCGAAATCGGAAAAAATCTGCCAAATTGACTATTTTTTCCCCTTTTGCTCTGTTTGCATATTCAGACAACATACATACATACGTACATATGTATGTATGTATGTGCATACATGTACCAAATACGTTTGGGTATACAGTGAGAGTCAAACATTTTATTAAAAGTTAAAGTAGAAAGGTTTAAATATAAAAAGTGGGCGGATGAAAAAGATATTAAGTTTGTGGTAGGGAAGCCCATCAACACTGTTGCCAACTTTTTTCCCAAAAATATCGCTAAAGTCGACTGAAAAATAGCTAGAAAATAGCTAAATTCAAGACATTTTGAAAAATTTAGCGATAAATCGTCAAAATAATATTTATTATATGATTCTGAAAAGAAATAGCTAAAAAAACTAGCTAAATTTTTTTAGATTTTTTATATTATTCTAAAAAGTCAGCGATTTATCGCTAAAATCTATATACATACGTAGGAATGGGATAGTAATATCTTATAACATCTTATAACAAACACATAAGAGAATCTTTTTTATGTTAAATATTTTCACTTTGGGTTAGGAAAAATGTCAAGTTGAGGTTAATTTCGATATGCGACCCTATACAGATTGCTTTTGAAATGTTGTAAAGATAAATTGAATTTCGAAATGCTGGCCTTTATGGATCGATCCTTTATTTTCGGCATAAGAGTATTATTTATTTTTCCATTACAATACAATTACAAATTATATTCTAACCTAATTTACCGAGCAGGGTGACGATAACCATACGACCGTTGTAGTGTAGCAGACCAGGATCTCTGCTGGGAATCGAACCCACAACCCCCAGACTGACAGGCTAGCACACTAGCAACTAGCCTACCGGGGCACCCAAGATTATTATTATACACTCCTTTCGTGAGAAGTTTATCTGCAATATCGATATGCGGCCCTATACGCCTTAGAAATGTTGTAAATTTTTAGGACTTTATGGATCGATCCTTTCGTCACTTATTTCCAATGTTCACTAATTTTTAGAATTATGGTAAATTTTATTATCATATCACACATTTACTAAAAGACTAGAATAATTAAATATTCGTTTTTTAATTGAGTACAACAAAATATACCCCTTTTAAAGTTTTTCGTATAAATTTACCTGTACGCACAAATATTTGCTCCTAATTATGATCTTCAGAACATTCAAAATAAGTATAATACACACAGCTAAAACTCAAATAATTTACATTGAATGCATATTTTTATATACATACATATATGTAAATATCGTCATTCGTAGCAACTTTTAAGCGATATTATCAAAATATAAATGAATAAAAAATGCCTTAAAATCTATAGAAAAATCGCTAGATTTCCCGCTAATAGCTAAATCATATTTTTCCCCGCAAAATGGGATTAAAAATCGCTAGATTTGACGAGAAAATAGCTAAATTGGCAACAGTGCCCATCAATTAGAATAAAATTATTGTTACATATAAACTTGTTTAATTTAATCGTCACTGTACCATTTTTTATAAAAAGAAATGTAACACATACATTCTACTTGTTCATATATAGAATTTTTTACATTTTTCCCTTTTTTCTTTTATTTTTTTTTATTTTTTCTGTATATAAAAAATAATTTAGGTTAAAGAAGATTGGAAATATGTGGCCATGGTATTGGATCGTCTTTTCTTATGGATTTTCACAATTGCTGTAGTTTTTGGAACAGCCGGTATCATCTTACAGGCACCAACATTGTACGATACACGCGTACCAATCGATATTAAATTATCAGAAATTGCATCAACAACAGCAAAACCGAACATTGCCAAACCTGTGTTGTAAATATTAAATAAATTAATAATAATGATAAAATATAAAACAATATAAAATAAATAAATAAATTTAATAAAAACAAATAAAATTTATTAATACAAAAACAAAACAAAGTGAAACCTTTCGTTACTACTCATAACAAGGGATAAAAATTAAACAAAAAAATATTAAACTCAACAAAATGAATAAATCTATAAAAATAATAAAAACATAAAATTGTTTAAATAAACTAAGTTAAAATAGTGTTTAAAACAAATAACAAAAAGAAGTATAAAAACCAAGTTTAACCAATTGGAAAAAAGTAATATAAGAAAATTAAACAGAAAAAGTAAATTCTATAACAAAAAGTACTTTTGAGAGTACTTTTTACTTTAAGTACTTATGATAAACAAATGTTAAAATAAGCAACTAAATTCTATACATTAAAAGTAAGGAAATGTTTTATTAGATGGAGCACAAACAAAAATTAAGTTAAGAATAAAATTAATAAAATATGTTGCACAGTGGTTTAAAAGAGGGAAAAATGGGGATAGTTGTATTAAGCACAAAAAGAATTAACAAAAACAAAGTTCTAGTTCAGTTGTAATTCAGTTCTACTTATGTTCTAGCTTAGTTCAAGTTCAGTTCTAGTTCAGTTCTAATTCAGTTCTAGTTCAGTTCTAGTTCAGTTCTAGTTCAGTTCTAGTTCAGTTTTAGTTCAGTTTTAGTTCAGTTCTAGTTCAGTTCTAGTTCAATTCTAGTTCAGTTCTAGTTCAGTTCTAGTTCAGTTTTAGTTCAGTTCTAGTTCAGTTCTAGTTCAGTTCTAGTTCAGTTCTAGTTCAGTTCTAGTTCAGTTCTAGTTCAGTTCTAGTTCAGTTCTAGTTCAGTTCTAGTTCAGTTCTAGTTCAGTTCTAGTTCAGTTCTAGTTCAGTTCTAGTTCAGTTCTAGTTCAGTTCTAGTTCAGTTCTAGTTCAGTTCTAGTTCAGTTCTAGTTCAGTTCTAGTTCAGTTCTAGTTCAGTTCTAGTTCAGTTCTAGTTCAGTTCTAGTTCAGTTCTAGTTCAGTTCTAGTTCAGTTCTAGTTCAGTTCTAGTTCAGTTCTAGTTCAGTTCTAGTTCAGTTCTAGTTCAGTTCTAGTTCAGTTCTAGTTCAGTTCTAGTTCAGTTCTAGTTCAGTTCTAGTTCAGTTCTAGTTCAGTTCTAGTTCAGTTCTAGTTCAGTTCTAGTTCAGTTCTAGTTCAGTTCTAGTTCAGTTCTAGTTCAGTTCTAGTTCAGTTCTAGTTCAGTTCTAGTTCAGTTCTAGTTCAGTTCTAGTTCAGTTCTAGTTCAGTTCTAGTTCAGTTCTAGTTCAGTTCTAGTTCAGTTCTAGTTCAGTTCTAGTTCAGTTCTAGTTCAGTTCTAGTTCAGTTCTAGTTCAGTTCTAGTTCAGTTCTAGTTCAGTTCTAGTTCAGTTCTAGTTCAGTTCTAGTTCAGTTCTAGTTCAGTTCTAGTTCAGTTCTAGTTCAGTTCTAGTTCAGTTCTAGTTCAGTTCTAGTTCAGTTCTAGTTCAGTTCTAGTTCAGTCAGTTCTAGTTCAGTTCTAGTTCAGTTCTAGTTCAGTTCTAGTTCAGTTCTAGTTCAGTTCTAGTTCAAGTTCTAGTTCAGTTCTAGTTCAGTTCTAGTTCAGTTCTAGTTCAGTTGTAGTTCAGTTCTAGTTCAGTTCAAGTTCAGTTCATTCCAACTAAGATCCAGTTAACAATTGTCATTTTTTAAACTAGACATGAAATGAGATTTTTCCTTTATGAAAACCACTGAGCCTCCTTGTATCTAATTTAATACAAAATTAACATTAAAATAAATTTATATTTTTTATTATTATTAATACAATTTAAAAACAAAAACCCAAAAAAAGGTAAGAATGATTTTTTTATATAAAAATAATGTGTAAAATGTATGAATGAATGTATATTTAGAGAATGTTTAGCAAAAAAATATATACAACAAGAAACTTTCATAAAAAACACAATTTGGTAAATAACATAAAAAACATTGAGTTTTTGAAAAAGACAAGAAAAAATATTTATATTATAATTTAAATGTATGAATATAATTATAAAAATAAAATATTTTAGGTTAAAATTGTATTTTTAAGTAAGAAATAAAAATTTATAACATTTCAAGAAAAAAAAAGTTAAAAACTAAAATAAAATATTGTGTAGAAATGTTTTAAGAATAAGAGAACAAAAAAATTATATAAATATTGGGAATATTTAAATAAAAAGTAAAAAATTTGTTACATTTATACCATACGAACATATTAATTAATCTCATGCACTTTCATGTTAGCATTCATACATTTAAACAAAATATCAATTAAGCATAAATTTACAAATTAAACTTCAATTTTATTATAATTACATATTTTCTTTTTTTTTATAAACAAATATAATTTTTTTATAAACTAAGTTTTTAAAACTGATTATAATGGAGGTGTGCAGAATATTTTTTGATGTTTATAATAAATTTAGGTTTTATTGTCCTAGTTCATCTCTAATTTAGTTCCAGTTTAGTTCAAGTTCAGTTTTAGTTCAAGTTCAGTTTTAGTTCAGTTCAAGACAGTTCTAGTTCAGTTCTAGTTCAGTTCTAGTTCAGTTCTAGTTCAGTTCTAGTTCAGTTCTAGTTCAGTTCTAGTTCAGTTCTAGTTCAGTTCTAGTTCAGTTCTAGTTCAGTTCTAGTTCAGTTCTAGTTCAGTTCTAGTTCAGTTCTAGTTCAGTTCTAGTTCAGTTCTAGTTCAGTTCTAGTTCAGTTCTAGTTCAGTTCTAGTTCAGTTCTAGTTCAGTTCTAGTTCAGTTCTAGTTCAGTTCTAGTTCAGTTCTAGTTCAGTTCTAGTTCAGTTCTAGTTCAGTTCTAGTTTAGTTCAGTTCTAGTTCAGTTCTAGTTCAGTTCTAGTTCAGTTCTAGTTCTAGTTCAGTTCTAGTTCAGTTCTAGTTCAGTTCTAGTTCAGTTCTAGTTCAGTTCTAGTTCAGTTCTAGTTCAGTTCTAGTTCAGTTCTAGTTCAGTTCTAGTTCAGTTCTAGTTCAGTTCTAGTTCTAGTCTAGTTCAGTTCTAGTTCAGTTCTAGTTCAGTTCTAGTTCAGTTCTAGTTCAGTTCTAGTTCAGTCTAGTTCAGTTCTAGTTCAGTAGTTCAGTTCTAGTTCAGTTCTAGTTCAGTTCTGGTTCAGTTCTGGTTCAGTTCTAGTTCAGTTCTAGTTCAGTTCTAATTCAGTTCTAGTTCAGTTCTAGTTCAGTTCTAATTGAGTTCTAGTTCAGTTCTAGTTCAGTTCCAGTTCAGTTTTAGTTCAGTTCTAGTTCAGTTCTAGTTCAGTTCTAGTTCAGTTCTGGTTCAGTTCTAGTTCAGTTCTAGTTCAGTTCTAGTTCAGTTCTGGTTCAGTTCTAGTTCTAGTTCAGTTCTAGTTCAGTTCTAGTTCAGTTCTAGTTCAGTTCTAGTTCAGTTCTAGTTCAGTTCTAGTTCAGTTCTAGTTCAGTTCTAGTTCAGTTCTAGTTCAGTTCTAGTTCAGTTCTAGTTCAGTTCTAGTTCAGTTCAGTTCGGTTTCAGTTCAATTCTAGTTCAGTTCTATTTCGGTTCAAGTTCTAGTTTAGTTCTAGTTCAGTTCTAATTCAGTTATAGTTCTGTTCTAGTTGTTGTCTACTTCAGTTTTAGAATGCACCTCCAATTTTAAATCTTACAAATGTTATTTTTGAAACAAGTCATTGTATAAAACTTTTTATTTTTATTAAAAAAAAATTGTTACAAAATTAAGTAGAATTCAACAAATTCAAAATACTGCCCTATTTCTTATTATTTACGTTTAATTATATCTAATACTTCACCTAATTCCTCCACCCACATACAGACTCCTCCCTTCCCACTTTTTTAACAAAATCTTTCAAATAAATTAAAACTAGTATTAATGAAAACTAAAAAAACAACAACTTTTGTACATATTTCAATTCGAAACTCAAACACAAAGATGTTGAGGACAAAAAAAACTATAAATAAAAAATTGAAACTCATACTAAAGCAATTGGTTCTAAAGCTGTAGATTTAAGGAAAAATGGAAAACTAAAAAAACCAAAAAACTCATACATACATACGGATCAAACAATTAGTTTTTAAAATAACAAGGAATAAATTTAATAAATATAAATAAACAAATATAAAATCTAAATACTAACACTAACTGAAAATAAAAAACCAACAAAAAATATAGTATATTGTACTAATTGAAAATGTTATTTACATTTAAGATAAAAACTTTAAAGTAACGTTTTTTTTTTTTTTTTTTTTGTTAATAAATGAAAAATTTAACACAAAAAGAAAGAATTTAACAAAAGTTTAAATAAAACATAAATTTAAATGAATAAATAAATTTAAAAAAAAGAATACACACAACAAAAGAAGAACATTACTGTGTCCACTGCCTTCCCCCCAGAAATAAAAAATTTAAAAAATAAAACAAATTATTTAAATATTTACATTTCAACAAAACAAAAACATTTATACTTTGAATTTAAACTAAAATCATGGAAAAAACAGCATTAAATTGTAAAATACATAGTTAATGAATGATGTATAAAAAACATTTTAAATAAAAAAGTTTTGGTAAAACAAATATTGCCTAAAATCCTGATTGGCGTGTGTAAAAAAACGTATTCTACACCAAGAGATTAGGGAGGTTAACAATTGTATTTAAGTAAAAGTTTTATTTATAATCAGGAATGATTTTTTAATTCAGAGCAGTTTTGCATCGCTATTTCTTTTATAGCAAGCACATTAGCTCTTTCAATACCGATAACGACCTGAAGATTCACGTTCTTTTTCATCTACTGTCATCTACTTCGAAAGATTTAAAATAGTCTTCATAATTTATTTTGAAATTTTTATTAAATATTAATTCCATGAAAAATATATTGATAAGAATAAGAATATTTAATTAATGAGAGGCGTTGTGCAGATTAACTCAAGATTGATGAAGAAAATTCCAGGATCCTTGTGTAATTGCAAGTCCCTTGATCTTTAGCAACTAACTGAAGATAATCCCACCGCACTATAGGTAGATATTTCGAGTTTTTAAAGTTGCTTAAACCCTTGTCTAGTCACACATTCTTGATCTTCAGCAACCAACATAGTTATATAGATAGTTCTACCTTACTATAGATAGATATATCGATTAATTTTTTAGCCACTTTAGACTACAGACTAAATTTTAGACTAAACTATATATGCTATATATACATAGACTAGGCTATATACGAGACTATAGACTAGCCTATAAACAAGACTATAGACTAGACTATGAAAAAGACTGTAGACTAACCTATTGACTATATTACAGACTAGACTATAAACTACTCTGTAGACTAGACTATCAAGTAAACTATTGAATATATTATAGACTAAGAACTAGACTGTATATTAGACTATAGACTTGACTATAGACTAGACTATAGACTACACAGTCGACTAGACTAGTCTAGTCACTAGACTAATAGACTAGACTAGACTAACTAGACTAGACTATAGACTAGACTATAGACTAGACTATAGACTAGACTATAGACTAGACTATAGACTAGACTATAGACTAGACTATAGACTAGACTATAGACTAGACTATAGACTAGACTATAGACTAGACTATAGACTAGACTATAGACTAGACTATAGACTAGACTATAGACTCGACTATAGACTAGACTATAGACTAGACTACAGACTAGACTATAGACTAGACTATAGACTAGACTATAGACTAGACTACAGACTAGACTATAGACTAGACTATAGACTAGACTATAGACTAGACTATAGACTAGACTATAGACTAGACTATAGACTAGACTATAGACTATACTATATATTAATCTACATACTAACCTATAGACTAAACGACAGACTGGACTATAGACTAAACTTTAGACTAGACTATAGACTATACTATTGACTACTTTACAGACTAAATTATAGACTGTAGACTAGACTATAGACAAACTATAATTGAATAACTATAGACTAAACTATAGACTGTAGACTAGACTATATAATAGGCTAGAGACTAGACTATATACTAGACTATAAACTCTAGACTATAGACTAGACTATGGAATACACTAGACTATAGACTGGTCTATACTAGACTAGACTATGGACTAAACTATATACTAGACAATAAAATAAACTATGGACTAGGGTTCTATAAATCGACTTTCGAATAATCGAACAATCGACTTTTTTTCGAAAAAAGTCGATGTCGACTATTTTGTTCCTAAAAAGTCGATAACTCGACTATCGTCTGTGAAAAGTCGAAGTCGACTATTTTGTTCCAAAAAAGTCGATAACTCGACTATCGTCTGTGAAAAAAGTCATCTTTGTGAATAAAAGTCGAAAAGTCTGAAAGTCGAAAAAGGTCGATAATTCGAAAAAAGTCGAAGAAAGTCGAAAAAAGTCGAAAAGTCGTAAAAAGACGAAAAAAGTCGAAAAGTCGGAAAAGTCGTAAAAAGTCGAAAACTCGAAAATTGTAGAAACAAGTCAAAAGTAGTCGAAAATTTAAAAAAAGTGGAAAAAAAGTCAAAAACTCTAAAATAGTCGGAAAAACTGGAAAAAAGTCAAAAAATAGTCGGAAAATAGAAAAGTCGAAAAGTCGACTTTTCGTTTCAACTATAGAACCCTACTATGGACTAGACTATTGACTATACTATAGGCTAAACTAAAGTCTGGACTAAAGACTGACAATAGACTAATTTATAGCCTAGACTATAGACTAAACTACAGACTAGACTATAGAATAGACTATACACTAGACTACAGACTAAACTATATACTAGACTATGGTATAGACTATACTATTGACTAAACTATAGACTACACTGTTAACTAAATTATAGATTAGACTATTGACTAGACCTTAGACTAAACCGTAGACTAAACTATAGACTAGACTATAGACTAAACTATAGACTAGTCTTTAGACTATATGTGTGTGTTGGTGTGTTTAAAATCTACTTCAAAATTCCCTTAAACATAAATGTATTATCGTGTAAATTCTGACAACCCCTATACATATTAACACTTAAATCCAAATAAATTGATGTATAATATTTTATGGAAATTTTTATAATCAAAATTTACAACACAATTTTGAAAAAAGCATACTTACAGGGATTAACAACATACTATTTATTGAGTTAAGCTCCCCGAAACATAAAAGGAAATGTTATGAAAATAATTAGCATACTTTGAAGAGCTCTACATTGACACTACGTACACAACAAACCCAAAGACATAAATTTTAAATTTATGAATGTGTTCGGAAAAAGGGCTCTTCTGTCAATCCCTTTAAATATGTTTGTGATTTTGTAGCCCCTGCTATAAACGCTATACTAAATTGGTTAATGTAAAAATCTGTCTGTAATTTAAAGGAAGAAATGAACAATTGTTAACATAATTTTAATACTAATAGGAGAAAATATGAAGAATGAACGAAAGAAAGAAAGATTGAAACATTTGATAGAATTTAAATTAATTAAGAAATTTTTTATGGACTAATTAATTGTGGTCTTTTGTAGTAATGTCTACCCTAAGGATTTAACAAAAAAACCCTTTAAGTAGGCAACATAATCTTATTTAACAATTTAATTTACAAAAACCTCATTAAATTAGCTACAAGTTTTGTATGTTTTAATTTAAAGATAAATAAATTTAAAAGTAAAGAAAGAATGTAAAAAGAATTTTTTTATTTGCTATTAACAATTAAACATAAATTGACAACATTAATAACAAACATTAACAAATTTCAGAAAACAAAGTGAAAAAATTATATATAAAAGTATAAATATTTTATAAAAAATAATAAAATGCCACAATGAAAACAAACAACTACATTAAATTATTTAGTGAATTATTATAATAATAACAACAAACATAATTAATTAAGGAAATAATTTAAATAAAACAACAACAACAACAAATATTTAAGCATGGTTGGGGACTAAATAACAACGATATTAAAACAAAAATATAAAAATTAAATAAATTTAAAAAAATGAAGAAAAAAAACATTAAAACAGTTAACTTACATTCTAGTTAATAGTAAATTTAACAAATACAACAAATAAAAAAAATTAAAACCAAATTAATTTAATTAAAGAGCAAAATAAAAACACAAAACAAAAACAACTGAAATTTATGATGATTACAAAACTGAATGAAAAAATCAACCAAAAAATAATAATAAAAATAAATTAATAACAAGAAAAAAAAAATGAAATAAAAATTCTTTAAATTGTAAATAAACGATTTGAAATAAAAACAAAAATAATATAAAAATAAAATGATAATGTGTGTTTTAATTAAAAGTGGTTAAAGTATTAATTTAGCGTAAAAAATTTAACGAAATTATGTTTTTCATGGTTATTAAATTATTGTTTGCATTTGCAATAAATTTATAAATTTGTCAACATGAATAAGCTTCATCTAAAAGCTTTTTTCTTCATGCTTTATTACCTTAAACTAAGACACAAACCACCAAGCTTTAAGAGCTTTTTATACCCTACAAAACTTTAGTTTTAGTCAAAGGTTTTTGGTTTAGAAAATAAAGTTTCATTATAAATACATCAGTTATTTATATTTACTTACTCTATAAATGAAACAAATCTTCAAAATTTATTTGCAAAAATTCAAATTTATTTGGAAATATAATTAATTTTAATGCTTAACTATAAATTTTCATATAAAACGCAGCAGCTATTCATTTACAAGCAGCTATTAGAGAGAAATATAAATCACTTTTATAATTTTATAAAGATTAAGCTAAAGATTCATAATAGGAAGCTAGATTAATAAACAATTGTCACACACATGCTGGCTAACTAACTAACATAGAATTTTTTAATAATACATATTTAACTACACACAATTTACTAGAAAAATATTGTCTTTAAAACGAAAAACAAATTATTAAATTCTGATTATAATTATCATTTAACACTCAGTGGATAGAGCATCATCGTTATCATCTTCAGCCTCACTGCCACGACCCTCTCGTATACGTTTCAATTTACGTTTTAAAGTCATAATACCTAGAAATAAAATGCAAAATATTATTTTATATTTTGATGTGTTAAGAAAGGTTCCATTATACTTACATTTTATGGCCTGAAAAGCCTTAGCCGAGGAACTTTCCGTACCGGTGGCACTTAAATTACTAGCACTCATCTTTTCCTGAGCCAATTTCACCTCCAAATAAGCTTTCTTCAAGGCCTTAAAATGCCTATGTTCACTAGAGTCTTTAAGTAAAATACACTTGGCTGCCGAACCCTCTCCCGAACAGTCGACTGGAGAATTGTGGTAAATCTGATGGTAGAAATATTGCAATACGGGTGAATTCCAAATACTCAAACCGTACCACAGCCAAATGACAATATTCAGAATAAATTTAAAATTTTTGGCAAATAAAGTGGGAACTAAATATTTAAAGGGCAAGAGACTGATAAAAACATGGGACCTGAAAGAGAGGGACGAAAATGTTATTGTACTAAATTAAGTTAATGCTAAACTACTCACCAAGAGGCTATGCGTAAGCCCAGAAATATTTGATAGACCAATAAATTCCTCTTAGAATTTTGCAAAGCAAGTAAGGAGAGAATTTCAGTGATAATATTGTAGACACCAAGAATTAAGTTTACGCCCACGAAGTAGTTTTCGTATCTGGAAAACAGAAATGAAATGAAGGTTTTAAAAAAACAAAACATTAAGGTTATAGTTTAGTATGGGGAACTAACTAACCAACTAACTAACTAACTAACTAACTAACTAACTAACTAACTAACTAACTAACTAACTAACTAACTAACTAACTAACTAACTAACTAACTAACTAACTAACTAACTAACTAACTAACTACTAACTAACTAACTAACTAACTAACTAACTAACTAACTAACTAACTAACTAACTAACTAACTAACTAACTAACTAACTAACTAACTAACTAACTAACTAACTAACTAACTAACCATTAAACTAACAAACTAACTAAGTAACCAACTAACTAACTAACTAACTAACTAACTAACTAACCAACAAACTAACTAAGTAACCAACTAACTAACTAACTAACTAACTAACTAACTAACTAACTAACCAACAAACTAACTAAGTAACCAACAAACTAACTAAGTAACCAACTAACTAACTAACTAACTAACTAACTAACTAACTAACTAACTAACTAACTAACTAACTAACTAACTAACTAACTAACTAACTAACTAACTAACTAACTAACTAACTAACTAACTAACTAACTAACTAACTAACTAACTAACTAACTAACTAACTAACTAACTAACTAACTAACTAACTAACTAACTAACTAACTAACTAACTAACTAACTAACTAACTAACTAACTAACTAACTAACTAACTAACTAACTAACTAACTAACTAACTAACTAACTAACTAACTAACTAACTAACTAACTAACTAACTGACTAACTAACTAACTAACTAACTAACTAACTAACCAACAAACTAACTAAGTAACCAACTAACCAACTAACTAACTAACTAACTAACTATCTATCTATCTATCTATCTATCTATCTATCTATCTATCTATCTATCTATCTATCTATCTATCTATCTATCTATCTATCTATCTATCTATCTATCTATCTATCTATCTATCTATCTATCTATCTATCTATCTATCTATCTATCTATCTATCTATCTATCTATCTATCTATCTATCTATCTATCTATCTATCTATCTATCTATCTATCTATCTATCTATCTATCTATCTATCTATCTATCTATCTATCTATCTATCTATCTATCTATCTATCTATCCATCTATCTATCTATCTATCTATCTATCTATCTATCTATCTATCTATCTATCTATCTATCTATCTATCTATCTATCTATCTATCTATCTATCTAACTAACTAACTAACTGACTTACTAATAAACTTGTTAAAGTAATATTCCACTTTCCCAGCCCTGGCAACAAACTTCATTACCCGTTTATTAACTTCTTTCCTTTTCAGTTTTATTAGAATTTTTGTTGAGAAAGGTCGTGTTATGCTACCGGAAGTAGATCATAAAAAATTGTTATAAACACTGCTAAAGTTTAGAAAACTTAAGAAATTTGTGAAAAAAGTATTTATAATTATAAATTAATTGTGATATTCAACTAATTTATTAAAATAAGGTGTTAATTTCGAGTTTAAAGCGTTGACTGCGCAGTCGCTATTGAATTTTTCCTAAACCGTCCAAAACTATGTGCGTGTTGTTGTTTTTGCAACACTACTATACAAGAGAAATAAAAACAATGCAAACTAACAACTAACTTAATTTCCCTTTTATTAACTTCTTCCTTTTTTAGTCTTATTAGAATTTTTATTGAGAAAGGTCGTGTTTTCGTTTGTGGAAGTGGAAGTGGAACGTAAGAAAAATTGATATAAAAACTGCTAAAGTTTATAAAACTTAAGAAATTTGTGAAAAAAAATGATTATAATTATAATATTCTTTTAATTTATAAAAATAAAGTGTTAATTGTGAGTTTAAAGCGTTGACTGCGCAGTCGCTATTGAATTTTTCCTAAACTGCCTAAAAACCGTCTGGGAGTTGTTGTTTTTGCAAAAACAATACAAGAGAAATGTAAACCGTGCAAATAGCAGTAACATGGCGCAACTTATAAGGTGACGTCACAGCTTATTGGTTTTTGTTCACAAAAATTTTACCCGAAGCTGCAAACTTCATAAACCAACAATTTTCTCTCTAAACCAAGCTGTCAAATTCCATATATACACAATTTTATGGTTTCGCGCCAAAATGAAATGACCTTACCTTATAATGTATACATATTAAATTGTACTTTCCTACAACTGACAATTAACTTTGTTTCCTTTTTATTAACTTCTTCCTTCTTCAGTCTTATTAGAAGTTTTGTAGTGTAGAGTCTTGGTTATTAAGAGAGACGGAAGTAAATAATTACAATTTTAGAATACTTAAGAAAATTATACAAAAAAGTGTTAATAATTATAAATTATTTGTAATAATCTTGAAATTTATGAATATAACGTGTTTACACTCTGTAAATGATTAATTGTCGGTTTAATACGTTGGCAGCGCAGTCGCCTTTAAATTTTTGCCAAATCATGCTACTTGTTAATTCGCCTCAATTACCGGTGTGTTTGTTGTTTTTGCAAAAACAAAAAAGCGGAAATGTAAACAAAGCAAACAAGTGTTTTTAGGAAGAAAGTGGGTGTTTGTGTGTAATAATTAAAAAAATATATTAAAAAATTTAGAAAAATAAAATTTTTTAAAAATCTAGAAAAAATAAATATAAAAGATGTAAATTACAGAAATAGTAATTTACCATAATATGGCCTGTCTTTAATCAAAAAAGTGTGTGTGTTTTTAGAAAAAAATAATATTTTAAAAAGTGAAAAAGTGTTTGCTGAGTAGAAATATAAAGATCCAGTTAATCTAAAGAAAGCTGCTGAAATAATGACAGGTATGTGCTTTAAAAATCTTTTAATTTTTAATAAATTAATTATAAATTTCTTTAAAAATCTTCATTTAATATGGTTCCCTTTATGCTAACTTGTAAAACTTAAAAATAAACTTACCTATAAACATCTATAGCCACCAATGACATCAAATATAAACTCTTGGAAGCCGCTTCCAAATAATCCGATTCCTTAAAGTCCAACATGGCGCCGTGTAAATAGAATGTTATAATAAATATCGAATAAAATTGAAATTTTTCACATTGTTGCGATTTATAAAATATGAGATTTTCCGAGGAATAGAATAAAGAGTAGCGTCCTTGATTTTTTAAAAGTTGCGGCAAAATTACCAATTCATTATAAAAGTACAAGAATAGAGTACAGGCCGCATAGAAGGCAATATTCCAAATGGAACGTGCAAATTGTTTGTGTTTGTAGTATTTGATGTTTGAAGTTTTTAGGAAGACCTTTAAAAAGAAGAAAATATATAGAAATTATTGGAAAAATTACTGTTAAAAAGTGCATTTTAATAAATTTAAAAGGTACAAAGCTTATTGTGAATGCTTTATTTTGTGTATTTTTAGGTGTTTGTTTTGATTATTGTCTTCGCGCTGTCTATTTTGTTGTTGTTCATTCTTTTCACTTCAGTGTTGTTATATTAACGCCGTTAAAACGCCGTCAGTTGTTTATTCGTACCAAAAATTAAATATTTGTACCTGTTTTATTAACATTTAACATATTAACATGTTAAAATTTTAATTAAGTAATGGTGTGTCATCTTATTTAACAGATATTAATAGATATATTTTAGGTAATTGTTATTAAATTGTCAAAAATAAGCATTCATTAAGTCCACTTAAAATTTGCAAGCTTTTAAACTATTGTTGCATAAAATTATATAATTTTGCAGAAATTCTATGCACTCTATGGTGCTTTTCGCATACAGAAGGATATGAGTAGACCATTTAAAAACATAGTAAGGACTCAGAATAGGTATGTGGGTCCACGACAAGAATAAAATCACCGCAGCCTACATTGTCTGTAGGCTAGTTCATTGAATAAGTTACCTACGCAATTGACCAGTCCATAGATTTGTCCATAGGATAGTCAATTGATTAATCGATAGGGTAGTCAATAAACCAGTCAATAGACTAGTACGTAGTCCATAGATTTGTCCATAGGATAGTCAATCGATTTATCGATAGAGTAGTCAATACACCAGTCAATAGACTAGTACGTAGCCAAGTGCATATAAAAATACATAGACTAGTCCATAGATTAGTACATACAGTATTCAATAGACCAGTCCAAGGATAACCCAATATATAGATTAGACAATATACTAGACATGTACATACAGTATTTAATGAACTACCGAATAGATATGTGAATATTCTTGTCTTAGACTAGTCGTTAGATTAGCCATTAGACCAGCTACTAGACTAATCCATAGAGAAGTAAATAAACAAGTCAATAGATTAGTGCATAAATAAGTCAAGAAAAGTACCTAGACTAGCTAACACATTAGTCCACATACCAGAAAAATGAACAAGACCACGGACAAGTCAACAAACAAGTAGGTACATAGACTAGTTTACCACATAGATTAGTTAGTAAACTAACTAATAAAAAGTACTCTTTTTAATAAAAATTAGTACTATTTGAAAATGTAAATTTTCTATCCCTGGTCTATGGCCAATATCTTTTAAAAATATAAAACTTTTATTAGTTCATGTCAATAAATTTACATATTCAGTAAAATAAACAAGTATTAAAATTCAAATATGAAAAAATCCCCTAATTAATTAAACAACGGCGTCAAACTTCTTACCCTGACTTTGGACTATACTAAACATTACACAGGATATATAGTATATTTTATTTTTGTTGATAAAAATAACCGAAATTTCTTCTTACACATCTTTACCCTACAAGAACAGTGACAGTCATTTGACCGGTCATTTGACTGACACTAGTGAAGGAAATATCGATCACTGCGTAGAACAAAGTTTCTATCAAGTTCTTAAGGGCAATATGAAAAATTTGATGGAAACTTTTGTGTACATGTGATCTTGCATCTCCCTTTCACTTATGAATTCTACCGATTTTAAAACATATATTTGAGCTGCTCACTCCTTTGCTTTTTACCAATCAAGGATGATGGAAATGTTAGTCACGATTGACTAATCATTCTTTATGGATATATCCATCACAGTTGACCAATCACACTTGATGAATTTATCCGTCAAATCTGACGGCTATGCCAATTTATAATAAAACACAATTTATTAACATTTTAAGATATATATTTTTAATTTTATTAATATACATAGTAAGCATATATATAAATTAACTATCACTTCACCATTTTACATACCTCACAGAATGTAAAATCCTCCTATGTTCCTTTTAATTTGTGGAAATAAATTGTCTGTAAAGAAATGCATATAAATATTGAAATATAAAAATTAAAAGTAAATATGTATTCATATTACCACAGATAGATTAAACTCCAAAGTGTATATTCTCAGCTCCACTTCCTGCACCGTTTTTAAATTACAATAAATCTCTTTATTTTTAATAATTTTAGTCTTAAATTTTTTAATTTTTTGCTTTTTGATCTTTGGCTTTCACTGAAATAATTAATTTATGCGACGAAAACACAGTAACAGTCAAATGTAGTTGTTTCACTCTTTCATATGCAAATGAAACCCTTTATCACACATTGAGTACATCACAGTCATTTTACCGGTCATTTGACCGTCATTATTGATGGAATTATCCATTAACTATTTTTTTTTAGCAATTTTTAAAGAAAAATGTTGTAAGTGTGTTAGTAAAATCATTTTGTATGTGTTAGTTTCGGTCATACATTTCTTGTAGGGTATCTTATATAAAACTGTCTTGCATTTTGCTATACCCTGAATCTATTTCTGTCACACCCAAGTGCAATACTACAAACAAGTGCATCCATCCATCGAGTATATTTTTTTCACTTGCTCACCTGAAATAATTTCTGGAATCCTATAAAGCCAAAACTGAAGAATAGAAATATCCAGAACATAGCATTCACCAGGTAATTGAAATTGATATTCTCCACTAAAGCATCAAATCTTTCGCTGGTGATGATGTATTTAAGTGGCAAAAACAAATTGCTCAGCTCCTCCCAAATGGTGGGCTTAGCGGTACGCATATCCAATATGGAACTCATTTTGTTAAGAGATTTTTCTTAAAATTTTTTTTGGTTATTAATGAGGATTTATTCCAAATTTTCTATTTAGAATTTTTTTTATTAAAATTTAAATCATGTTGCACTTGTAATCCTAGTTGCAGCAAAATTGAAAATTTTCTTGTGATTAAAAATAGTGTTTGGTCTATTTTTAAACATATGTTTGTGTTTTTTCTTAATTTCTTTTGTTGTTTACTTCGTTGCGTTGAATTTTTGACATCAACACAAACAGGCGTTGCCAACTGTTACAAATTAAACAAAGTTGCCAGTATTGATAGAAACCGTTAAATATTAGAAGGATTGCCATGGTGAGACAAATTAATTGTTTAATAATAATGTTTTTTTTTTAATAAAATATTTATAATAATAAAATTCAACTTAATCTAAAGCTAACCAATAGCCATTTAGCTAAAATTACCAATGTTGCCCCTCATCCAGTGCAAATGTTTCAAACTATTATAGACAAAGTAAAACCTCAATTATTAATCATGAATTTGGCCACAAAAGATAAGTAAGCAAGCAAGCACCAATTAAACAAATTTATGAATTTCTGAAATGATGCTATATTATAACTGTTTAGTGCATATGGTGTTCTCAATCGTTCTGTGGTATATCGCGGCCTTTCCCAGGATGAACCTTGCCCACACATCTGCTTTGTTACCGAGAAAAATTCCCATAAATATCAAACTCTCCGTGAAAATCCTAAAGTTGCAGTGACTATGCTCTGTTCAATACCCGATATTGAATTGTGGCAAATACGTTTATTTAATGCCGAAGCTGTTGAAATAAATGATAAAGAAATGTTAAAGAAATTTTGGCAAGAGGAACCTTTATATGCCAAAATTCGTAGTCATATTTGTGGTTGCGGCAAACCTAATGAGGTTGAAGAACTTGATCGAAAATATCAAGAAATTTTGGATCTCTATGAAAAGGAATCTAAAGAACCGGAACTAACTAAAACATAGTGAGTCTTTCAGAGATATTATACTAATAACCAGTAGAATATTCGGATATTTATTCCTATTTAATTGTCTCATCTAGTACTGCTTTTAAAATCATACCAAAAATATGGGACTTTTACAAAAGTGAACCCAATAAAATCGCCGATCGTGTGCAATATAAACAAATCGAGGGAGAAACGGATAAATGGCAAGTTTATCATGTTGATGCCTAGTTGATGGAAGTCCCAAGTACAACTTTTATTTATTACAAAAATATTAATCAAAAGCATAAAAAACATTAAATAAATGTTTTTAAGTAAAAATTGAAGTGTTTACAGATTTTCGCTATTTTCTCAAATGGACAATTATTATAAAAATCGATTTGTGGCGAAAAATTAAAGAGATTGTAGGATTTATGGCCGATTTTATAGATGTTTGTTATTTTTCCAATTGGAAAGTTATTTAGGGATCTACAGCCGATTTCTTATTTCACTATAATAAGAGACTCTAGAATTGTTTTCATATTGTTCGTGGGTAATATAAGTGATATAAAATATAAATCGATTTTATGTTTTATACATAAAAATAGATTTGAACAACAAAATTTAAAACATCGAAATATGGTATTAGACTCCCAAAATTATTCTTAGACGATCTAACTATGTTCGTATGTGCATATGTCGTTCTGCTGAAAACACGATGGGGCCTAATGAGGAGCAGCTGCTAGCAGCACTATCAAATAGTTTACTTTGATCAAGTTCATTTGGTATTGAAAGTGATTAAAATCGGTTCACATATGAACGTAGATGCCAGTACCCACATATAAATCTGCCTTCAGAAAAATACTAGTAGAAATTTTATATAATCAAGATTTATAAGGTTGGAGTAGGAATGGAATAGGGTCTATTATGGACCGATCCAAAATTACAGAAAATATTTGTATTGGCAATAAATCGTTATTAGAGAAACTCGATAAAAATTATTTGTTATTAGAAATGTATCTCCGTCACATTTTAGCTCCGTCACTAGGGTTCTATAAATCGACTTTCGACTTTTTGTCGAACAAGGTCGAAAAGTCGAAGTCGACTATTTTGTTACAAAAAAGTCAATAACTCAGCTATCGTCTATAAAAGTCGAAAAGTCGACTTAGTAAATAAATAGTCGAAAAAGTCGGAAAAGGTCGAAAAGTTGGAAAAAAAAGTCAAAAAGTCGAACAGTCTTAAAAAGTCGAAAAAGTGGAAAAAATCCAAAAACTCCAAAATAGTCGGAAAAGGTCGAAAATAGCGGAAAATAGTTGAAAAGTCGAAAAGTTAAAAAAAGTCGGAAAAAGTCGAAAATTCGAAAAAAGTCAGAAAAGGCCGAAAAGTCGGAAAAAGTCAAAAGCTCTAAAAGTCGACTTTTAATTAAATGCAAAAAGTCGAAAAGTCTTTTTGTGATTAATAAATAACCTTTTCCAATTTAAACGTATTTTGTAAGCGATTATAAGTTTTCGACAAGAATTCGAATTTTGAATAAAAATATAAGTGATCACGTGTTTTAACAAAGTTTCAAATAAAACTCATATTTAAACAAAAACTATTTGTGTATCTTTATTAAAAAAAAATTATTAACCAAAAACATACAAACAATAAATAAATGTAATTTAATTATATGTCAGCATTAAATAACAGTTTCTTTCAATTTCAATTTAAATAGTAATAAATACAATAATGTAATTGCCAAAAAAGTTAAGCTTAAATACAATAGCTTTGACCCATTCCTTGCCAGATTTACAGGTTTTAAAAAATATTAACATATTGTTAATTCAGACCAAAACCTATAAATCTAACTAGTAATGTAAACGAAAAATTACTTAAAAATTAAAAACAAAAAGATAATTCTTCTTTGTACATTCATTATACTTTCTCATTCATTCAATCATTCGATGGATTATTGGAGAAAATAGTTTAACATTTAAATTAATTGCAAATTCATTCATACTTTTATTATATTTAGTTTTTTTTTAATAATTTAGATTAATTTAGAAATATTGCGAAATTTTGCGTTGTTTTAAATCTAAAATTTGGACGGAATGTGTTCATTCTGTAATATCTTTTTAAAGTTTTGCAGATAAATACTGAACTAATTTTATGCTTCGAATTCTAATTTGGGACCCTTAATGCAATTTAATCCTGTTATTTTTCCTAAATTGGTTTTAATATTTCCAAAGATCTAAATCTGAACGTAGCACATACTTATAGCCCTAATTTTTAAAATTTTTAAAAGAAATTGTTTCAGTATTTAAAGTTAATTACATATTGAAGTGATATTTTTTAATATTTTTGGGTGCATTCCTAAACTTTAGATATATGTGATTACAAATCAAGACCTAGCTTTTCAAAAGGTTAGTATAAGTCTAACATAATTTATTCCTTTTTCACTACTAAGTATTTTAATATGCGTTAATTTTTAAGTCACCAAACTTTAGATTAACTTATATAATTAATATAAATATGCCTTAAACTTAAGATTAAACAAAATTATTTTAAATTTTACGTATCAGTAATCGAAAAATAATCATTAAACATTAGTTTATATACAAATACCTACGAGTATATAAATATAGTTAAGTATATATTACATTAACGATCGCTAAACGATACTCTATGACGAATTAACCGTTTCACGTATCCAAGCCGCATTCGAGGATATCTTATCATACATTCTTGGCCTTTCGACACCGGAAGCAGCACAGGCTATTCGCCATGAGGAGACACCAACAAGGGCCCATTGATTAGTACCAGGTATGAGACACTGTACAGGAGCGCCAGCATATTCTTCTTGCTGTAAAATGAAATAAAAAGAAAAAAGGTTTTGAAATTTAGTTCCAGAATGAATATATTTCGCAAACAAAATCAAGGGAGAAATAATTTCTAAAGAAATTTTGTTGGGTTGGAAAATACAGATTTGAGGAAATTTGTATAAGTTCTAACCAAACAAGTTTTAAATATTCTTCCTGCTGTAAAATTAAATAAAAAGAAAAAAGGTTTTGAAATTTATGAAATTTAGTTCCAGAATGAATGATAATATCGATTGAGAAATTATGTCCAAAGACTAGAAGAAGGATTCTTTAGATGAAAAAGACAGATTCGAGAAAATTTGTATAAATTTCATTCGACAAGTTTACAAAACTATATAGTTTTCATACAAATTTATTTTGTTTCAAGAAAACAAATCGATAACGAGAAACCCTCTTTATCTGGGGTCGAATTACCGCATATTTGATCGAATAAGCTTTTATATCGAAATAAAGCTACAATATATAAGATTTCTTGTTTGATATCGAATGTCATCTTCTCAAAAAAAAAATTTCGATCTTTTTACATTTACATGATCTATCTTCCTTATATTCTAAAAATTATTTTCAAACTTCATTCTTCTGAAAATCTCTTTTCAAATTCTAGCTTCTTTGTTTTCTTAGTTGTGTGCCTCCTTTTTATGATTTATTCAAAAGAAATTTATCACTTCTTTTCCATTCTCTTCCCAGACTGTGTGACAATTGTCTTACTTCCTTAGTCTCGCTAGACTAAAGAGAGTAAACGATATAAATCACAAACACAAATAAATCATCAAGATAAAGATTCAAAAATAACAATAAATCCTTAAAATGGCACATACTAAAATAATTCCTTGGTAAGGGTTGCATCTTACAATAATATCTTTTAGTTTTCAAAACATAATTGTTTTCTAAGTTTACAATAGTTTACTCTTTGTTTCCAAAGACGTAAAGAGATGAAAGGTAAAATTATATTAATAAGAGAAATTTCTTAAAAAAAATTCTGCCGCAATAATAACGTACGTGCCATCATTGTATTTGTTAAAAAACAATAATATTTAGTACGTGACACCAGGTGTTGTCTCTCATTTAATTAACTGCAAACTGCAGGATATCGGGATTAGTATTTCATAAATGTAACAATAATATTCTATTAAGTAAAATAATATTCACTTAAACAAATGAAAACTATTGACATTTTACACGTGTCTGGATATTTCGGGAAACATAAACTTGCGAATCATTTTATTAGTAGATTATATAGAGATCCCAAAATCCTGTTTTAATAGATTTCAAATCATTAAAGCCGCAATGTTTCCCCAATAAAGGATCAATATATAAGAAACTTCTTCCAAATTGTGTTTTCGTTATTCTAACATTAGTAAAAATATAATTGCCAATCACGCCTTCATATTTTTAATTTATATATAAAGAAACCAAAAAAAAATGCATTATTCTCCATCATTTAGATCAAACTTTTTCTGATCATTTGAGTAACATTCAGATTAAAAATATAAGACTACTTAGAATAATTTCATCCAAATAAAAGGATCAAAAACAAGGTACATGCTCCTGATTTTCGTTCGAGAACCCAATTTTTGTATAAAACTTTTTGCTATCGATCCAAGAAATATTGCAAAAGTCGAGATGGAAAGAATTTATAAAATCGTAATTATGACCAGTAATTATGACCAGTAGATGTAAACTAAATTTGAAATAGCTATGGCGATATCAAATCACAGCCGTAAAATTATATTAGATTTCAGAATGTGACACTATTTGTACTTAAATTTTTAAAATCGATCCTGTTGCTACACGATTTACTAATTTAAAATGAACAGCAGGGTGATTTTTGGAACAAGGGCTCTGCTTGAGACAAGTATGGAGCGAACTTGTACGAGCTATTAATTAAAAAACCTATTTTTCGATGAATGTTATCATAATAACATATGGAAATGGGATTATGGTTCTTGTTTGTGTCCAATATCTAAGCCAGTAATGAGCAAAAACAAATTTTCTGAATGATTTTACTTCCATCTAAGAGGGTGAAGCAATCCTCCTACAATATGATAGATTGATTTGGTCCCTATTAAATTTGAGTCGAATTTCATCGCCAGTTATAACTGCTTAAACTGTATTCCTACCGTATAGGACATACTGTACATTCAACAGATGGCTAGATCATTTTAGAATCGAATAACAATCCAGTTTTATAATATCGTAGGTTTCAATGTGTTACAGATGAATTTAAAATCGATTTTGGATCCTTAAATAAAGCTCCAATAACAAAAATCTGTTATCACTTAAATTTTGTAGCAAAAAATCAATTTTTTATATTGAAAAATTAAAATCGGCTGATGATTCATAAATAACGCTCAGATTAAGAAATCAGCGATAATCTGTGATCACTTACATTTTCCAACAAAAATCGATTTGTATATGAAATAAGTACGAATGTATAGTCGGACATGGCCGACCATAGAATCTGAAGCCGAGTTTGTATGGGAGCTAGGGTCAAATAAGGCCCGATTACTACAAAAATCGACAATGTCATTTAATCTTCTATAAAACTAAATTTTTCCAATTTTTGTTGACATACTGGAACATTTAATATAATTATGAGCTCAAAAGCCCTGTTGAGAGGGTACGGTTTGTATAAGGGCGAGGCGAAATAATGGACCGATTTGAAACATTTTCAATAGAGTTCGTCCTTGGGTCGAAAGAAGAGTATGTGCCAAATTTCATCAAACTATCTTGAAAATTGCGACCTGTAGCCGTGCGCACAAGCTTTACATGGACACACAGACTGACTGACGGACAGACGGATATAGTTAAATCGACTCAGATAGTGATTCTGAGCCGATTGGTATACTTTAAGTAGGCACAAACGCATAATACCCTCCCCACTATAGTGGTGTAGGGTATACAAATAAAAATAGACTGTAGATCCTTCAAAAACGCGCCGATTACGAAACTTGGGAGAATCTGTGACCACTCATATTTTGGACCAAAAGTCGATTTCAAAACTTGGTTTTTATGTGAAAAGCGTTATTATTTTATATTTTTGTAATAATTAGAAATTGAGACTCTACTTTCCCACTATAGTGGTGTAGGGTATACAAATAAAAATAGACTGTAGATCTTTTAAAAGCGTGTCGATTACGAAACTTAGGAGAATCTGTGGCCACTCATAATTTGGACCAAAAGTCGATTTCAACACTTGGTTTTTATGTGAAAAACATTAGTTTTTTTTAATATTTCTGTAATAATTAGAAGTTGAGACTCTACATTTTGGTAAAAAATAGAATTTTATTGAAAATTTTAAGTGAAAATCGATTATTAAGGGAAAATTGTATATACAAAATTATCAACATAAAATTAATTCCATAAGACATCAAATTTACACTTGCCATTTCCAAAACAACTGACAAAATTTAGCAGATGTCATAATATTGTAATGGCTCGTGGTGGAGTCAAATAAATATTAAATGACTCAGAAAAGATGAGACCCTCACTCTCTCATAATTTACTAAACAAAAACATGAATCATTTCAAACATAACGGCTATGACAAACAGAAATGAGCAAAAGCATGCTCAGGCATGAATGTTTTTGTTTACTACATGCAAGCAAGTAAGTACACATGCACGTAACGTATGTACATACGTACTATGCTCATAATTACAATGTCTAGTAGCTCAACAGCCGTAACAAAAAAAAAAACAACAATTAATTGAATGAAGTAAAAAAGAGAATGAGAAAGATAAATTTACTCACTTGTGGAACAAAATAATAAACAAGGCATACTAAACGAGATATGAATAAGGCAATTTAAACTTTTATTCATTTAAATTGCCATCTACAGTTGAGAACCTTATTCAAAACACGTTTAGATTGTTTATCAAATTTTAAATAAAATAGGGTGCTGTTCTACCTAAATTCCCTAAAGATAAATTCGTTATAGGCCTGCTGCAACCTTAATCCTGGCAGGGGTTGTTTTTTCTAAATACTCTGTTTGCTACACACTTTGTTTGTTATTAAACAGGAATAGTGTAGAGAGTTCGTGGTTAACGACTACCTGCATAATATTTTTCACTCATTTCCCTTCTCTTTTGAGCAGATACAAAAACATTTCACTTAAGAGTACAGCTACAGCTAATTTTTGTTTAAATAACCAATACATTTCAGTATTGAGCTACAGTTGCAAACTAAACGTTCTAAAATAAACAACTTATTTCAAAGATATTATAAACTTGTGAAAAAAACAAACGAAAAAACTATGGCTTCAAAAAATTGTGTTAAAATATCCTACAAAGGTCTTACGCGCCAAGTTTTATGTGATACGAAATTTCAATATGATGAACTTTTATTAACAGTTATGGATAAATTCAATATAAATAAAAACCACAAATTGGCCATTGATTTCTATGATGAACAGGGTCATAAATACAACAAGGATACATTTGAATATTTTCTTCTACTCTTTCCAAATCCACAAAAAATATTCTTCATACGTTTGGATTCTTCAAAAATTATAAATCTATCTGCAGCAGAGGACCAGCGCTCTTTATTGGATGAAGATGATCGTAAGCCTTTTGGTAAATCGAAATTAAATAATAGACAGACAGATAAACCGGAAACGGACACTTATTGTGAAGCTGTTCCCGTAAGAAGACAAAATTGTTTTCTTGGAGAAATGCCCTCATCTACAATCACACAACAGCTAACCACTTCAAATAATCGAAATTCCTCTCACAACATAGCTTTGGAAATTGTCAAAAGAATGCGTCTTCTTAAGCAGAGTTCACCCAAAAAGAAACATTTAAATAATCCTACAGTTTTTAAACGCTCAATGAGAATTTAAAGCAAATTTCTTTTAAATACCTAACTAGAGTTTAAGTTACAACTATCTCATGTTTAACAAATCAGAACTGAACAATAAGTTTAAAACTAAATTATAAATCCTATGAAATATTATTTTAATTTTTGTATATAGACAATAAGTACTACATAAATAAGTGATATATAATTATATAGTAAATAAGCAAAAAAATGTATATAAAATATTTTATATGATACTCATTAATGCCATTTTATAGAAGAAAAATATATATATATATATTTATTTATTTTCATTTCCCTCCATAATAATTTTAATAATTGTGTTTTATTTTGTGTAAAATAATTCGATCGTTAATTGTTGATCTTTATTGGTTCCACAGACACGTTTCAACATTATTCTAGGTTTGATATATTGAAATTTCGAAAGAGGGGCGAACAGTTATCTAATAGTTTTAACCAATTCCAAAATAATGTTAAATTGAACTTGAATGATTTGGCATCATGGAATCTCAATATTTTCTAAATTAATGGTTTGATAGAAAGATGATACACAGAGGGAAAAGGAAATATACACGTCTGGTACCAAATTGACACCAAAGAGTTATAATTTTTCAATAACACCCGTTGTCAAAGTATATACATACGTACGCCAACACGATTGCAACAATTCGTTTTCGAAATCTAAATTTTATACACATCCGTTGTCTAAATGTTAACAAACGTGGTAAGCTCACTATTGGCAACGGATGGTTTGTCAATAGTGAGCTTACCACGTTTGTTTAGGTTTAGGTTGTCAACATTACATAGTGTTGTTGTACGTATGTATATACTTTGACAACGGATGGTATTGAAAAGTTATAAACAGTTTGGTGTCAATTTGGTACCAGGCGTGTGTATTTCCTTTTCCCTCTGTGTAGGAACTAAAACTTTTACGGTGGACAGAACCTCTACGAGAGGCGATACTTTATCTTACCTTAGGGCATCCTGTTTGATCAATTATCAAAGAGGTATGAGGTAAGACAATATATCAATAGCTAAACTGATATATTGTCTTAAGACTTATTAATTGAAAAATTAAAGAAGATACGATCAAGAAGGAAAATTACGATAAATTTTACGCGATCACATATACGTCTCCTAAATTCAACCATACCGTTGATCAGTTATCTAAAAGTTTCGTATATACGAGAAAAACATATGCAGATATGTACAGGATCCATTGGATCAGTCCTCGTATACGGCAGCTTTGAACGACATTCATAGAGACGACATAAATTCCGTGGTCGCAGGATACCGCATGAATGTCGTAGTTGGGGGTCGCCCACCGCCCATAGCAGACACGGAAGAAAACCTGCCGCGGAAAACAGGAGTAGTACTGGCACAACTAAGATCGGAATAGAGCAACAGGTTCAATGCCTACTGGTCACATATAGACCGTGCCGTCCCCAACGAATGTCCTGCATGTAATCAGGGTGCTCATGACACCCACCACATATTCAACACTTCAAAGGAGATTTATATTGAGAATAGGCCTGATTGTATTCAAAATTGTCATGAAAAATTTTGCCGGCAACAAGTTCGAGAAGTAAAATAAAAATTCTCAATGGAATTATGATCCAATAATACTTTGGAAGGTGGGGCAACATCTGTCACAACTCTTCAAACATTGCTCGCTATATTTGCGACATATAAGATTCTCCGTGGGTTCTAAATTATTATGAGTTACACTGGGAAACACTCGCCATTAACCAGTTTCAGAAATAAAAAGGAAATATGATCCAGAAATCGCTACAAATACAATATTCAGTAGAATTTGGAACATTGTTTATTAAGATTCAAGATTCAATTTTACACAATGGAAATATTTTTTGAATCTGGGGATCAAACGATTACTACAACCAACGCAAATTGTTTACAATATACTCGACATATTAAAACCTCCATATACATATGTATGTAGGTTTTAAATGAAATGAGTTTTCCATTTAATGGCAGACAAAATTAAATGTAACGGAAACTCTCGCCATCAACAAGTTCCCGAAATTAACTTGTTGATTGTGACCCAGTAAGTTGGGAGAAGTTGTGATGTTGCAATAGAATGTTCTATCGAATACTATCCAATTACGAAATTCCAACTTACCGTACAATCATGTTTCTGATACGTTGCCTCCGTACACATACTATTCACCGTGGCAATCGAGATATTTTCACACGCCGCCATATCACCGATTTTCAATTGAACTCGCTGCAGATGATCACGTTGTCGTGACCAACCCAACGTATTGCAATTTGTCCATGTTTGTTCGGGTTGTGTCGTCACTGGTGCCACCGTTCTACCCACTGAAGCTGCTGAACTGGGAGCCGATGTTTGATTAGCCGTTGTACCTGCTGCATTTATGCCATAATAATTCATTTGTGGTGCACTTTCTGGCAGAGGATATGAATCTAAATTATATTCTTCTATATCATCAACTAAAGCCTCAGCCTGAGGCATTTTATAGGCCGATGGTTCATATTCTGAACTATATGAATTGCTAGAGTCTTCATTGGGCTGATAGAAATTGGGTGATTCGAAATATTGTTGTGTTTCGTGTTCTAAACGTTTGATGGTTTCACGGCCTTCTAGACGTTCTGCCTTGGGAACATAAGATCGCCTTTGTATTTGTTGGTCTTGTTTTCGTTGAGATTCATCAGGCAGGCAAATGGGCCGCACATGATCGGAGTAAACAACTGCTGTTTCTAAACGTATAAGAGCGGCGGTGGAACCTTCTACAGGACTTTTGATCATGCCTATTATGCGTCTACGCTGAGTCCAGGGAGCTTTTGAGGCCAAACGTACCGAACCAAAGACAGCCATCCAAGTGGCACGTGGTTGACCTTGGAAACAGGATTCAGTGGTTAAAACCCAATCTTGAGAAATCTAAAATAGATTTAAAATTCCACCATTAACAAATGAACTAATAATGTATACAAAGAGAATTTAATTACCAAAGTGCCATCACAAACATGCACATCTTCCCTGTATAAAGCAGCCAACCAAGGCCAATCTCCCGAGGCAGACATTTTGGGCAAAGTTAAATGCTGTTTACCCGTTAGCACAGACTGTACACCACACTGCAGTTCTCCACAACCCACATACAACACTTCACGTTTGGGACAATGAGTACGTACAAATGATATTTCCGGAGCATGAGGATCCAAAACACGAACATAATCATCTACATTCTCGGTATCGGTTTGTACTTCAAAAATTTCCACTGATCTATAATAGAGCAATAAATTATTTGTTTCATTTTTTGAGAGAATCCAACTTACTCATAACCCAAAGATTTACATAAGGATTCTGCCACAGTTTGTCTCACCACTAGTTTACTATCTCCTTCCAAACCCTCTGCACATAGTTTTCCCACAGAACCCTTTTCGGAAAACACTGCAAAACCTTCAGAATGAAATCTCGGCAGATAAGGAACCAAAGGTTCAGGATTGTTCAAATCTGCGGCCAAAGGAGCTATAGAAACTGTTAAAAAAGGAATTCAAAAAAATGGCTTTAAATCCTAAAACTTCTAGCTAAACTTACGACAATCTTTTTCATCTGAACCATCTGGACAATCGGCTTTACCATCACAACGTGCTTTGCGGGGTATGCAAGCTCTGCCTCTACCACAGTATAGCGAATTACTGGTGCAAAACGTACACGTTCTTTCATCTGACAAATCTGGACAATCAGCAAAACCATCACATAAACGAGGACTTTGAGCATTATTCTGTAGATCATTAGCACAACGAGGCTTCTGACGACACGACTGTATACCCGTGGCCTCCGGGAATCTTTCACAATCGAAATATTTTTGAAATCTATGAGGCAAACGATTACCACAACCCTTCATAAATTGTTCACAATATTCCCGACATATTGCTCCGGCTGTAGGTTCTAAATTGGCATGTGTTTCACAGGGTGGTTGCATTAAACGACAGACAAAATCGAAAGCTTCACGGAAACACTCGCCATCAACCAGTTCCCGAAATGAAATGACATCGGCCTGAACTTCCTCAAAGGAATTGTGACCCAGTAAATTGGGATAAGTGGTAATGTTATAGCCTATCGAACGACAGTAGTTTAGTTTTAAGGGTTCACAACGTCTCGGCTGCTTAGGAGTGGTGGTGATATATTCCGTAGTCTCATCATCACCGCCCAAGGGTGAAGAAGACATAATAGGTTCCTCTATTAAACCTGTTACCTCTTTAATGCTTAGACTTCTAGGATCCACGGTGATATTACCAAAATATCTAGGTTGAGCACTGCTAAACTCCTCACCAAATAAAGCCAATAGATCGGCAGTCGACACTAAACCGGCATAGGGATCAAAGATCATATTAAAGTGTACTAATATATCGCTGGTGTCTTCAAATCTTTTTAAAAAGAAGAATTTTAATTATTTTATAGAAGTTAGAAATATGTTTTCTATATTACCCATCCAAAGCCAATATCTCACTGCCATCATAGGCTTCCTTTAGATCCGAACGCCGTACCAGCAGATTAATGCGCTCACGATAATCCCTCGATTTTTGTTGAAATCTCAAAGAGTTTTGATTCGCCAAATCCATAGACCATTTATCGTTTAATATTTGGAATTTACCACGAAATACACGATCCGATAAAGGTTCTGGTTTGAAATAGGTATCTGGAATTGAGATTTATAAATTTAACAATAAAATTCCTTGAATATTTTGGGGTTTTAAATGCAAACTTACATCCCACATACACAAATACTCCAGCCACCAAAAGAGCGACTAGAAATCCCGCTATAACCGCACAACCACATTTCTGACTATCACCCAATTTACGTCGCGTAAAACGTATATCTGAATCTGTAGATAAAACCGATTCGGTTTTTTTCCTATGACCCGCACTGGGCAAATGATGAATGTGACTGTGATTGTGTCCGCCATTCAAATGATGGCTGGGTATATCGGCCACTACAACACCATTACCGTTACTCGTTCGATTTGGTGAATGACTGTGGGCTTTGTGATGTCGGGTACAACGTGTATTGTGAAATACTTTTGGAACTGATGCTGTGCTTTGTGTGGAATTGCCATTTGAGCTGGTTTCGCGGGGAGAACTTGAATTACTGGAGACGCCCTGAAAAGGAGAAGAAAACAAGTGGTTAAATTTTTTAAAGTTTAGGTATATTTTGTAAGATTATTATGTCAATAAACCAATTATGAAATTGCGTTAAGACAAAACCATAACAAGACCACGACCATAAATGAGCCGTGGTTAAAACACAACATAATTAATCTAATAAATTCATACTTAAGACTTCAAAAAGGGGCAATGCAACCAGTACCTCCATAATAATAACAGCAATATCAATTATAATTAGACAAATGGAAAATTAAAACAACTCCTAAGTAAAATTATAATTAACGTTTATTTCCCCCTCTGATGAAAGAAAATTTTATGGAAAAAAATCATCAATTCATAAAATTTAGTTGAAAATTTACATCATACAAATCTTAATAGACAATTTGAAAACCAAAAAAAAACCTCAAATAAAGTTGATTAAACGATGATGAGTTGTGCTGGCATGCAAATACAAAATATATACATTTATAAACCTATTTGTATTCCAGATACAACCATCCACCCATTCACTAATTTATCTATCTGTAACCAAACTCTTCTCTATTTGTATCTATTTTGTTTTGGATTGAAAAAGATTGATGGCATGAAGACACGAAATAATTTATTAATTTTTTTTTCAGCAATAGACGTTTTTTTTTACCAGATAAAAAAGTTTAAAAGCACACCTGAAGTGGGATTTTTTTTCTTTTCTTGAAAAGAAAATTTTAAATTCCAAACAATTTTGATCGTAATTGCAAACTGAAAAGAAACTTAAATGAACTCTCTTTGTATTTAATAAAGTGACGAAAATATTTGTTGCTTCATAGTTGGAAGTTTTTTTTGGTACTGATGGTACCTGGTTAATAGGAGTTAATGAATTTTATGTTTTCAATAGCTCTTTTCCAGCCTCATCAGCTTGTTGAAACTTATCAAATAAGGGTGTTGTACAATGGATGTTAAATTGAGGGTAAAAATAACTTATAAAAACAATATAATTAGGAAGTTAAAATGTTAAAAATAAAAATAATCTTATTTGGTACAAAATTTTCTATAGAAAATCTTGTTTGGGAAAAAATTTTCTATAGAAATTCTTGTTTTGGAAAAAAAATTTCCATAGAAAATCTTGTTTGGGACAAAATGTTCTATAGAAAATCTTGTTTGGGACAAAATGTTCTATAGAAAATCTTGTTTGGGACAAAATGTTCTATAGAAATTCTTGTTTTGGATAAAATTTTCTATAGAAATTCTTGTTTTGGAAAAAATTTTCTATAGAAATTCTTGTCTTGGACAAAATTTTCTATAGAAAATCTTATTTGGGAAAAAATTTTCTATAGAAAATCTTATTTGGGAAAAAATTTTCTATAGAAAATCTTATTTGGGACAAAATTTTCTATAGAAAATCTTGTTTGGGACAAAATGTTCTATAGAAAATCTTGTTTGGGACAAAATGTTCTATAGAAAATCTTGTTTGGGACAAAATTTTCTATAGAAAATCTTTTTTGGGACAAAATTTTCTATAGAAAATCTTGTTTGAGACAAAATTTTCTATAGAAAATCTTATTTGAGACAAAATTTTCTATAGAAAATCTTATTTGAGACAAAATTTTCTATAGAAAATCTTATTTGAGACGAAATTTTTTATAGAAATCTTGTTTGGGACAAAATTTTCAATAGAAAATCTTGTTTGTGACAATATTTTCTATAGAAAGTCTTATTTGGGTCGAAATTTCCTATAGAAATTCTTGTTTTGGAAAAAATGTTCTATAGAAAATCTCGTTTATGACAATTTTTTCTATAGAAAATCTTGTTTGGGACAATATTTTCTATTGAAAAATTTGTTTGGGACAATCTTTTCTATATTTCTATCTAGTTTGGGACAATGTGTTCTATAGCAAATATAGTTTAGGATAAAATTTTCTATACAAAATCTTATTTAAGACAAAATTTTCTATAGAAAAACTTGTTTTGTGACCAAATATTCTTACATATTTGAAATAAAATCTATTAAAATTATGTGAGAATAATCATGTTTGGGACAAAGTTTTCTATAGATAAACTTGATTTGCACAAACATTTCTATAGAAAATCTTGATTGGGACAAAGATTTCTATATAAATTCTTGTTTGGTTCAAAGAATTCTATAGAATATCTTATTTGTGACAATGATTTTTATAGAAAATCTGGTTTGGAACAAATTTTATATAGGAAACTGTGTTCTGACAAAATTTTCTATATAAAACTTGAAACAAACTTTTCTTTAAAAAACTCGGTTTGGGACAAACTTTCCTATAAACAACTCTGGTATGAGCTTTTCTTTAGAAAACAATGTTTAGAACAAAATTTTCTATACATATGTACTTATAAAATCTTTTTTGGGACAAACTTTTCTGTGCAGAATTTTATTTAGAGCAAAAAACTTTTTATAATTTTAAAGAAATGATGTTTTTTCTATTAAAAAATAATCGAAATTAAACGTTTCTCAAACTTTCGTTTTCATCAGAATAATTTTAGCCAAAAACCTTATCCAGCTTCAATTGTAAAATAAACAATCAAACTTAGAAGAAAAGTAACCACAGTATAAAAAAAATGATTGTAATTTCTAAATTATAGTGTAATCAAGTGAATTATCTTTTCTAAATAAACTTTCTAATGACACTCGTACAAATAGAAAATAATAAAAGTTTCAATAGTTACGAACAAAACAAACATTATTAAAAAAGTACTTCTTGACTCAAGTACACATACAAACAAATAATAAAAGTGACCATCAGACCTCAACCACAAAATCGTACAAAAGAATGAAAGACATTGTTCGCGACATTGCTTAGCCCAGACACTACATATTAGCATGATTCTTTTTGCTGCTGTTGTTGTTATTGTTGCTTTTCTTTTTGCAAATTTTTATTGTTGCTGTTCTAAACGCTGAATCATATTTATTTTTATACGATAAACGTACTTACTACGCTTGTTTCGTGTTATTGTTGTTGCGGTTGTGGCGACTTGTATGTACGTGCGATTCTTGTTGAATTTAGCAAAATGTGTGCGGATGTTTGTTTGTATGTGTGTGTGTATCTATGTGAGGTTTCTTTTATGTGTAGCATTTGACAACCCCCCGCCAAGCGCTCCAGTGGCGCAATTGGTTAGCGCACGGTACTTATAATCAGTGACTTGTGAGCAATGCCGGGGTTGTGAGTTCGAGCCTCACCTGGAGCAGTTAAATTTTTGTTTTTTTTTTATATTTTTATTTATAATAAAAAGTTATTGAAATATTTTTTGGCGTAAAAAAGTAAACAAAAAATGTTTCTGTTTAAAATTTGCTTTTTATTCTTTTACTTAAACTTAGTTTAAATTAAAACCTTCGTTAATCTGTTTTAGTATAGTAAGAACCCTAAGTTCGAATCTCAGCCATGTTAAATACATATTTGTAGATTTTTTATATTTTCTAATGTAAAATAAGAAGTGTTTATCTTTAATTAGAATAAAATATAGGATTTTCAACTCTAAAGATAAAAATTCCATTTATTCTATTTATAAATTATAAAACTCTAAATTTTTACTTTCTTCCATAAGGAATCAAACTCACGACTATCTGCTTGACAAGCAAGCACTCTAACCACTAACCCAAGCAGCAACGCTTAGTATAGTGTGTAAAATGTTTATCTATAGTTCAGATCAGCTATAAATAGATTTCATAATTAAAATTATTATCTTAAGTAAAAACAAATTATGTAAAATAGAAAGTCTTTTTATGGCAATTTTTTTTATTGTATTTTTGCAAAAAAAAATCGACTGCTTTGCAAAAAACTCAACTGCTCCAGGTGAGGCTCGAACTCACAACCCCGGCATTGCTCACAAGTTACTGATTATAAGTACCGTGCGCTAACCAATTGCGCCACTGGAGCGCTTGTAAAGCTTTTGTCAAAAGTGTGTGAAAAGTTTTGCTAGTGAAAGTTTTATATAACTGGGGGGTGAAATTATCAGAAAATAGAATCGAATTTCTAGATATCGAGAAAAAGTGGCCTGAAAGTTTTGATTATAAGAAAAAAAAGGAATATTCCCAACAACCCCAGATCGAGATTTTATTGAAAATCTGGCGTCAAATAAACTTTTTGTACAAAATTTTATTTTGAAAATGATATTTTGTGTAAAATATTATTTAAGACAAAACATTCTATAGAAAATCGAAAAAGAACAAGGATTTGGGACAAAATTTTTTATTGAAAATCAAGCTTGGAACAAAATTGTTCATGTTTGGGACACAATTTTTATATAGAAAATATAATTTGGACACAATTTTTATATAGAAAATCTTTTTTGGGACAAAATGTTTACATAGAAAATCTTATCTGGGACATTTCTTTATAGAAAATCCTATTTGGGACTACATTTTCCATAGAAAATCTTATTTGGGACAATATTTTCTATAGAAAATCATATTTGGGAAACATTTTCTAAAGAAAATCTTATTTGGGACTTAATTTTTTGTATAAAATCTTATTTGGGACACATTTTGTTATGTTTGGAACACAATTTTTGTATAGAAAATCTTATTTGGGACAACATTTTCTATAGAACTTCTTATTTTGGATAACATTTTTTAAAAAAATCTCTTTTGGGACAACATTTTGATATGTTTGGGACAAAATATTTATATTGAAAATCTTATTTGGGACAAAATTTTGTCATGTTTGGGACTATATTTTTATATGGAAAATCTTATTTGGAACAAAATTTTCTATAGAAAATCTTTTTTGGGATCAAATGTTTACATAGAAAATCTTATTTGGGACAAAAAATTTTCTATAGAAAATCTTATCTGGGATATTTCTTTATAGAAAGTCCTATTTGGGACTACATTTTCTATAGAAAATCTTATTTGGGACAATATTTTCTATAGAAAATCTTATTTGGGATACCATTTTCTAAAGAAAATCATGTTTGGGACAACATTTAATCAAGCTTGGAACAAAATTTTCTATAGTATATCATGTTTGGGACAAAATCTATAGAAAATA